ATTTGTTCTTTTTTGAAAGCATTTTTTTTATCAATTAATTAATTTTTCTTATCCAACTATTTCTAAGAGCTGAAAACTAATAATTTTTATTAATTTAATATTCTTAGTTCATAAATTATTATTATACGGTGGTAAGCGATTATATCACTACAATGAAGACGACTTTTTTAATAAAGTTTTGATTTAATAAAGCTTTTTTCGCGTTAAAAGTTTACAAGTAATCAAAGAGAAGCTTTTTAATTGATAAATTCTCTTGACTTCTATGTTTTGTGTATCGATGCTGTTTAACATCTTAATTTAAATCAAAACTGAATTCGAACGTCGTCGTCATTGTATTGATATAATCGCCTACCACTGTATTAAGTACAACAGCTTTTTATTTTCTATTTCTAAAAAGATTTTTATACAGATGTTCTTCTAAACATATATTGCTTCATTCAAAGATTAAAGAGATTTTTATTTAAAGTTTTTTGATTTTTGGATTTGATCAATGTTCAAGTAAATGCTGCGTTTTTTAAAGGGACACAAAGAATGAATGAGTTTTTATGGTTTTCTGTTTCAAAATTGATTATTTTCATATGTCTGTAAATGGAGATTATTCATCTTATGATTATTGAACTAAAAAATAATATAACATGTATCGTTGTAAATCATGCATGCACCATTTTTAAACTAAGAGTTGCTTGAATTTACAATAACAGTCCCTTTAACAGTAATTCTTGTATTCAGGGAGGATGTCGTCTTAATGTTACCGGAGAACCTGACAGTGCTTAATATCCGGGAACTGGAAGTTTGGTGCAGATTATTCGGAATATCATTTGGGAAAATTAATTTCCAGTTGTAGAACTCCCTTCCAACACTCTTTTGTTCTTTAAAAAAAGACCCCCCCCCACACTTCCTTAAAATGTTTTAAAACCCTTTCTTCAATATGTAAATAAACACCCTCTTCCCTTTCTATTTCCTCCCCATATCCTTCCAGTCCCCCTCCCCTTCTCTAAAAAACAAGAATTAACTTTCACAGTAAACCTCAAAATGTAAATTAAAGTTCTGTTTATTTTGACTCCTCCTATTTATATTTAAGCAAGATTTGTGTAGGTTTCTGACAAAATTATTTCTTGCTAAAGACTAATTAACATTTATTTTGCTAATTAATCAATCACTTCTCAACATTTATTACGTAATTATAGAGCTGAATCCTTGCATTTAATTATACCAAGATCTATCCCACTACAAACAAACAGAATTCAGAACTTTAGTGTTATTTATACAGATCTACGGATCAATTTAATCCCACTTCGATATTTCGTTGTGGTAATGCATGGATCCTCAATTTTTAAAACTGCCCGTACATTTGATTTCAAGATTTACGATATATTTATATTTATTCTCGTAAACCGTTTTATTTATTTCTAATAAATATAGTTTGTCTCTCATTTATCTTGCAGATATGAACAATTGTTAAAGTATTTAATTTTTAAATAATTGGATTGTCAATTTAAAGGGACTGGCGTCGAAATTTCAAGAGATTCCAAAAATAGCATCCTCTAATAATAATGCTATACCTATCCTTTAGCTAAGCATCGTGATAAGTAAGATAATGTCGTCTTCTCTTTGTAAGAAATAGATACTGAGCTGGGAACTTTAGAATGGGATACCATTAATACCGACTGCTTAATCCGTATATCCAATGTGGACACTTTAGATTTAATGCTTAGTCCCCTTTTTTTTGGATATAGAACAGAAAAATCAAAAACCAGTTTTTTAAAATTAAGAGTCCTTCCCGTTTCTGTATATTAATCATAAATGGCGCACAAAATTTCAAACTTACCGGCTTCTGATAAGGGACTCTGATTGGTTGAATGTTATACACTTTTCAGGATACAAGTACAAGATTAAGTTAGTCTCGAGATTAAGAAAAAGAGAGGATTAAGCATTAATCTCGATATCCACCATTTAAAAGGCTGGGAACTTTAAAATATACTTCCTTGCCTCTGCTATACAAAACAATTTATCACTTTTGAAGGAAACCCTCCGGAAAAAAAATTATAATTTTTTTTTAAATGAAAAAGGGTCTTTTTGTCATTTTTCCTCAGATTAAGGTTAAACGAGGTGAACAGTCCCTTTAAGTAATCCAATTAAAAAGAATGCATCTTCTCTTCGTGCATTAATCTCGAATAATCAATATTTGCATTGATTTTTAGGATATAAAATTTTGAGAACCCTCTGCTTTCTGAAATACGAATAAAGCCTTTTATTTTAAGAATTTTTGCAATTTTTCCAGATGTTTTTTGTTACAACTACAGATGGCAGATAATCGTTGAAAGGTCACATATTAGCCACAGATATATTTCCAATGTGAAATATAGCAATGAAGTGGTTATTCACATTGCAAATATATAATTTATGGTAACTATAAATAGGGTTCTCTACAGTGATAACCAGAAAACTTTGGAATAATTTTCGTTTTAATGTATTTATTTTTTAAAATTTAATTTTAACAAAATTCTATAAATATTCAGATGATAGCATCTGTAGATATTTTGACATAAAAATATTTTTAAAATCTTTTTGAAACTTTTTTATTTGTAATTCTTGTAAATATTTTATGTCTTTAAAACGTTCAGAAGTTTGATAATTTACAGAGTGTCCCAAAAAACATGGGAATACAGTGACGAATTCGATATCGTCTTTGTTAAGCATTAGCATTGCAATACCTAATTGCAATACCTGATTTCAAAAGCCATAATATTATTATGTCTGCTAGAGTTTATTTTATGAAAAGGGTAAAAGACTGTAAAGATGTGTCTATAATGTCTCCGCAAGTTTACTCTGCTTGTATATGCAATTTTCTTGTTTTACTAAGTACAACCGTATGCAGTCAAAACATAAACAAACAAAATGTGAACATAGCAGACGAAACTCTTAAAGATTTCAACTTTCTCAGTAGGTATCACTATACTAAATCAAAGAATTATTTAAAAAGACGATATTGAATTCGTCACTGAATTTCCATGTTTATTGGGACACCCTGTAAGAAACAATTGCAAGGTACAAAATCCTTAGCGATATTTCACAATGACAAGAATCCGGATGAAAACCATTCCATGTTTGTTGTATATTGTATATGTCTCCTCAGCTGGGAACTTTAGAACCGTGGAATTCGAGATCAAAGCTTTATCCGCTAATATACCCTTACTCAACTCCTCACCTACTAACTTTCCGGTAATATACACATCCCCTTACTCAACTCCTCACCTAGTAACTTTCCGACCTACTACAATATCGAACCTACGTCCGCTGTTTATTTTTGCATTATTTGAGGGTTAGGGTAGGTTCAGACAATTTCTGGGCCGAGCGCTGCGGCTAGGAAAGGCCAGGCCGGGCCAGCGCCGTGGCTAGGACAGGCTAGGGGGCATCTAACAGCGGTAAAACCACATGCTAGTAAATCGAATGTGTTGTATAGCGGATTTGGCATAGGTCAGAAGTGGAGTATATCGGATTTGCATATGTCGAAAGATACACCATCCTTTATCCTTTCTTTTCCTTAATCTCGAGACTAAGTTAATCTTGTACTTGTATCCTGAAAAGTGTATAAAATTCAAAAAATCAGAGTCGTGTTTCAGAAGCCGGGAAATTTAAAATTTTGCTCGCTATTTAAGATTACTATACAAAAACGGGAGGTTTTCTCTAATTTTGAAAAACAGGTTTTAGATTTTTCTGTACTATATGGATTAAGCAAGAAATTAAATGTTTCCACATTGGATATCCAGATTAAGCAATCGGGATTTCAGGTATCCCATTATAAAGTTCCTTGCTCTGAGCTGTAAACTTTTGAATTGGATATTCTGATTGCTTAATCTGAATATCCACCGTAGAAACTTTTACTTTTCTTTTTAATCGCTCTCGTTGGATAAAACATGTTTGATACGTTTGATTACAAATACAGAAACGATGCTATAACGATTGGACTAAAATTCGATTCAGCTATATTCACAAGCCGGCTTTAAGAGCATTTAAACAAATATAAATTTAATCATGTAAATAAGAACTTATTAAAAAACATATTTTATCACATTTAAGGACTATAATAGTTCTTTTGAATGTTAGTATTAATAAACATTAATCTAAAACTTATCAATCGATCAATTGATCTCGATATCCACCATTCTAAAGTTTTCAGCTCAGAACTCATTGAAGAGCTATATTGAGAAGAACAAAAATGTTTTTATTTTTTAATGAGTTTGTTTGTCTCATACTTGTGAGTAACAAAACGAGCGTTGAGGTTACAGTCGTACCAGCAGTGTTGTCGCATAATTCAGTGTGACATACAGCGCAGCTTTTTATAAGAAGATTAAATACAGGGTGGCCCAATAAACATGGGATTCAGTGACGAATTCGATATCGTCTTTGTTATGAATTAGCATTGTAATACCTAATTTCAAAAGCAATAATATTATTATTTACTAGAGTCATTTTATCAAAAGGGTAATAGACTGTAAAAATGTGTCTATAATGTCTCTGCAAGATGAACAGTGAAGACGGACAAGTTTAATCTGTTTGTATACTGCAATTTTCTTGTTTTACTAAATACAACCATACAAGTTTTAAACTTTTGAAGATATTAATCGCATACATTTCCAGCATAATTTAGTCCCTGACCAAATACAAGGGGGGGGGGGGGGGGGGGCAACGGTACAATGTCCCCACCCGGCCCCGCGAGTTAAATGAGTTTTCTAAACATACAAAATGTTTTGAATGTCGTCTTACATACATTTTATTATGATATTAAAGGTTTTTTTGCAGTTTATTTCATTAAAAAAATCTTTTGCTCAAATATATTTTACTTTCAAATCAATTTTACTATAATATGACTCCCATATAATACTTTTGATATTGTCTTTGGTATCGATCAACTTTACAAATTATGGAAGAAGACATTCTAAACTATTCACCAACTGTCATGTTTCGTGGGACACTCTGTACTTTCTAACTTAAATATATAAAAAGAACAAATTATATTTAGAGATGAGTTATTTTGTAGAATATTAATCAGATCACAGTTGTTGTTAATGCAAATATTTAAAATAAAAATAATCTACAGCATTGTGACATTTTAGCTTTAATACATATAATGAGAATTCACAATTCAGGCAGCAAAATAGTTAATTCAACAATCCTGGCAGGGAAGAATCAAATTTGCTGAAACAAAAATGTTTAATTATTTACAAAATAAATAAGTGAAATGGGTCAGTGTGTATGCACTGTAAAATTATATGATTTTTTTAAAAATCATAGGTTAAGTTTGACATTTGTCTTCATTCACAATGTTTAGTGTTTTTTACTGTGTAGTATTTTACGGGGTATAAACAGTTAAACCCTGAATAAGCCATACATCGAAAGAATTTATCAAATTTCGTATTCTTTACTTTCTGATAATAGAATGTTTCAGATATTTAGGTTTTTAATTAAATGAGTTTATGGAGCTTTTTAAATCTGTTCCCGCATATTCCCGCATATTCATGGCTATTTATTTATTTTCGCAAATACTGGGATTTACGTAAATAGTATAAAAACCATTGAAAAAAATGTCAAGACGACATTTGATAAATTCTTTCGATGTATGGCTTATTCAGGGTTTAACTGTAGATAAACATTGAGAACCAGAAAATTGCAGAATACTGTCTTTTACTTGAAAAATTTCAGTATAAGAATTTGAAATATTTATGCAACTGATATATCTCTAACAACTTTCATTATTAGAAAACAAGAATTCCACTGTTTTCTGATTCCCGCTGTTTCCTTTATTAAAGTTGAACTGGAAAAATTTAACTTAAAAAGTTTAAAGGACTCACCTGAACTTGTATTGCCAGTGAGGGTTCGGAAGATATACAAGAGCTTGTCCATAATCTAATCTTTGGTTAGAAAAAAAAATATTCAAGTGTAAAATATTACCTTTTGCATCCTCGACGATTCCAACAGCTGACTGGAGATCACGTGCCCTCGTCGCCATTTTAATTTCAAGAGAGAAAATGTTGTTTTATGTACACTATGTAGCCTTTGTACATTATGTACGGACCCGGACACTTACCTGCTGATGGGACATTGCTGCCTCCAGGCAAGGCTCCCCCACTGCAGTTGAAAATGTACTCTGAAAATATTTTATCAATGATGGATTTCAGACATCGTGTTTTTTAAAGTAAACTTTCTCTCATGAGTGTCGGACACGTGGTGTAAATACGATATGCATGAGTAGAGTTTTCGCTCAAACTTGCTAATCCTTATATCTTCGGTGTAAATCTTTGATAAATAAAACTTAAAGATTATTTGAACCAACTAAATTCACAGTTTGAAATATCCAAGGTCTACAACGTTAGGTTGGACAGAAAATCAGAGTTTGAGGCAAAGTCTGAATTCCTTTGGACATGAATGATCAGTTTAAAATAAATTTTAATTCGTAAAATTAGAAATGAAAAGATGCATGATTCTCACAAGGAACAGATTTGATTTTCCTGGAAAATAGTCAAAAGTGGGGTACTGTCCCCCTAACCCTCCTACCCTCCTTCCATCCCTCTCAATACAGGGTGTCCCAAAAAACATGGGAATTCAGTGACGAATTCGATATCGTCTTTGTTATTAATTAGCATTGTAATACCTAATTTCAAAAGCCATAACATTATTATGTCTGCTAGAGTTTACTTTTTGAAAAGGGTAAAAGACTGTAAAGATGTGTCTGTTATGTCTCCGCAAGATGAACAGTGAAGAAGGACAAGTTTACTCTGTCTGTATCAAGAATGTAAGGCAAGGAAAGTCAATTGCGGTTGTGTATACTCTGTGTACATATTGAAACCAGTTCTCTCTGGGCGGAATTTGTAAACAATAATAGATGCATCAGTGTTCGTTTAGTATCCGAGGAGGTTAAAAGCATTAAATTTTGATAATTTTGATAATTCACATAATAATTTTCTATGACCAGAATATTTCATTGATTTTTTATGTGAATGATGGATCCCATGTCAGGCTTCGACATCCGTCTTGTGTTTACATTAGCGCCCAGAGACAGTACACTTCAGTACTAAAGATGTTTACACTTCTGAAATGACTTTCCTTGCCTTACATCCTTGGTCTGTATATTGCAATTTTCTTGTTTTACTAAGTACAACCGTATGCAGTCAAAACATAAACAAACAAAATGTGAACATAGGAGACGAAACTCTTACAGATTACTATTTAAGATGCTCTCCTTTTGATGCAAATAGAAATAAACGTTAATCAATCAATTAATTACAGATTACAGCTTTCTCAATATGTATCACTATACTAAATCAAAGAAATATTTAAAAAGACGATATTGAATACGTCACTGAATTTACATACTGAATACCTGTAACAAGGTCCTCCTCCTGTTTACAAGTCTGAATTTACATAAAGTTACCTGTAACAAGGTCCTCCTCCTGTTTACAAGTCTGAATTTACATAAAGTTACCTGTAACAAGGTCCTCCTCCTGTTTACAAGTCTGAATTTACATAAAGTTACCTGTAACAAGGTCCTCCTCCTGTTTACAAGTCTGAAAGTATCGAATACATATTCCCCGATCCATCCGAACCAGTGTATCTGCATTTACACCGTTGCACCTTAATCAATGAATTAATCAATTATTGATTTGTTTCATACTTAAAGTTATCATAAGTTTAATTCCAAGTGACCCTCCCTGCAAAGATGACAAGGTCTGATTTACAACGGTACCCTTGCAACCTTTATCTGATCCATAATGTGGAAGATATTGTCGTTCATTTAGTTTTAAAACTCTGATAAATCCTTTATGTTTTATTGCAGCAGAAATGCGCTAATTTAAAAAAAAAATCAGCTTTCAAAATTGTAAACATCAATATCAATTAATTAATAAAGTTTAAAGGGTATGTTGTGAATTTGTACATGGAGGGTACCTCAAAATTACGGGGACAGTTCCGTTAACCAGAAACCGGATTTAATTAATAATTTGAAATGTGACTGAATCAGGTGAGATACAGGGTGTCCCAATAAACTGGGAATTAAATGCCGACTTCAATATCGTCTTTGTTCCGTGCTGTAAATTATAAAGTGAAAACAATCCTAGTAGTATAAGAGTTAAAGTAATCAACATCTGAAACTAATAGGCTCAGGAATTCCAAAATGTGGTCTACTATCGTTGGACCTTCGAAATCGGCGGAGTTATCGAGAAATCTGCTCAGATTTCTTTTTATTCGAAAACAAAAAGTGTTCAAATATTTGATATCTCCGTCAATTTTAAAAATATAATGCAAACCACATTTTGAAGAGCTCAAGAGATAAACAATCTTTTTTGATACACTTTTTGTCATTTTACTAAATATCGAAAATATCAAAGACGATTTATAAATCTTCTCTCAATTCCCATGTTCATTGGGGACACCCTGTAGCTGATATTTTTTTTTTGGGACACCCTGTAATTAAACCACTTTTCAACATAAGAGAAAATACATAAAAGATATTATGAAATAATTGATTGGAGCTGATAATTTTAAAATTTTGTCAAAGGAGTCAAGAATTATCAAAAAAAAGACGATATTTAACGATCCGTAGATTGAATTTGATCTTTTCTACTTGACTAAGTTTTTTAACGGTAAACTTAATGATTTGACAAAGAAGCAAACACTTGTATAGTGACAGGGAAACATAAATGTCAATATAATGATTATAGTTTCCGTATACAGTCATCTCTAAAGTGTTTATTTTTAAAAGATACAAACACTAAATGTTCTTAAAAAAAATTGTATTTCCAATTGTATCCTTTTATCTATCCTTTCAAGTGGAACCCACACCCAATGCACTAAACTTATTAGGCCTGAATACTTAGTTGAGTGTGCCCATTCAATAATGTGTTAAAAAATCTGTGGTTTTTAAAGTAAACAAAAGATCTTTTACTTGACTTTTTTAATTTCTTCAACATCCGCATTGATGTCTGCCCAACAGGTGCATAGTGTTGAGATGTCCTGAGTTTCTGAAACAAGAAAACATTTCTAAATTAATTATTAAATAGTCTGAGGTCAGAACTGTTGTATGTTTAATCTTATTGTGAAACACTAATTCGCAACCTAAGCCATTTAACGCATAAGTTAAATCTGGTTAATGGATCTCAAAGTTCAATATCCACCACAATCTTTTTGTACTCAATAAAATATTTTTTTTTACGAATAAATCACTTTAAGTCAATATATTTTTTTAAATTAACGCTTTTTTATACAAAGGTACAGACTTCAGGTTTTACCAATTAATAGAATCCTCTCATGAGTATCTCCTTAAAATGTTTTTCCATGGTATTTTTGTAATTGTTTCATATGAATTAGTGGAATTAATGTTTTTGAAAATCATTTTTTCTAAGTGCCCTAATAGGTTTATATTGCTATATTGCTAGAGATTTGTAAATTGCAACAATTAAAAGTAAAAAATCGCCAGAACATCTCAGCTATGAACGGAAAAACAGCATTCATTCCAAATTTTTTTGGTTCTAATTGTAATCGTACCTGATAAAGTCGCTAATCTACAATTCGCGATTGTAATCGTACCTGAGTAAGTCGCTAATCTACAATTCGCGATTGTAATCGTACCTGATAAAGTCGCTAATCTACAGTTCGCGATTGTAATCGTACCTGATAAAGTCGCTAATCTACAATTCGCGATTGTAGTCGTACCTGATAAAGTCGCTAATCTACAGTTCGTGATTGTAATCGTACCTGATAAAGTCGCTAATCTACAGTTCGCGATTGTAATCGTACCTGATAAAGTCGCTAATCTGCAATTCGCGATTGTAATCGTACCTGATAAAGTCGCTAATCTACAGTTCGCGATTGTAATCGTACCTGATAAAGTCGCTAATCTACAGTTCGTGATTTTCTCTGTGATATTAAGAAAGGTTTCCTCGCATAATGTAAAGTTTGAGGTAAAGCTTTCCAACTAATGTTAAGCAATCAAATCTTGTTCTTGCCTTTTTAAAAAGATTTTTATGGATATTTTTTAATGTTCAATGGGCTTTAAGTCTAAATCTAGATGACCCTCTATGCAAAAATGGCAATGCCGATTTACAACGGTACCCTTGAAATATTAATCTGAATAAAAATGTGGAAGATGATGTCGTTTTTCTGACTCGAAAATTGTTTATTTCTGTGAGTTTATTCATGTCTTCTTACAACAAGGAATGCGCAAGTTACTGTCGAAATGAAACCGCGAATAAAAACAATTTAAAGATACAAAAAACATGAATATATCATTATCTAATTCATACTTGATCAAACAAAACTTTGAAGGGTACAGTTGATAATCAGGTATTACCATCTTTGCATTAAGGTTAACTTGAAATTACACTTACAGTCCTTTTAAGGTTGTTCTTGACGTATGAGCTGTTACTTGAAATTCTCTTTTAAAACTTAAATTTAAAATAATGATTTTCTTTGATTGATTCCTTTGCTGGGTCGACAGAGCATGAAGTTTCTATTAGTTTCTGACAACTGTCTAAAGTTCGGAAACCATTCTCTGCCCCCTCTGCAATTCTGAAACCAATCAGTTAGAATACATTTTGGATTTGAAAATTAAAGAATGATATGATGTAATCTAAAATTTACGTCCAAGTAAAGTCCGAGCTTAGACTTGACTCGGTTTCAGTTGAAACCAATCTAATTTTTTTTTAATTTTAGCTTTGGGCCATAGATTGCAAATTTCGTGAAAGTTTCAGAGACCGAAATTAATAAATTTGAGGGGTTGCTGAACTGCTTAACAACGGTTCAAATTTGTCCCACCAAGTTAAATCCTTTCTGAGGCCGAACCTTTCAAATATGGTTGGCTCAACTTGAAATTTAAATCAGTGTTAAGAGATTGAGTCAGCGTGCAATTTGAACCAATGACTAAAGGTTCCGCGACGAGGTTCAACTTCATTAAAATCGGCCTCTGATTCTTTACCTTTGAATCGGTGCTTCAAATTTGAACTCGTAGTTGGTAGTTCTACGACGAAGCTCAATTGTATTTTTTTTTAGTGTAAAAATTTGATTTATCGATAGGAACCGAGCAGAAAACTGTGCATTGATAAGGCTTGATTATACATACAGGGTGTCCCCCTAAACATGACAGTTGGTGAATAGTTTAAAATTCATCTTCTATAATTTGTTAAGTTGTTTGATACTAAAGATACTAATATATTATAAAATATTACAATAAAAATTGAGTAAAATTTATTTGAGTAAAATTTTAACAAAACTTCAAATAGTACTTCCAGTATATGGAAGAAGACATTCAAAACTATTTCCCAACTGTCATGTTTCGTTGAACACCCTGTATCAGCTCAAATTAACTTACTCTTTAGTAGATCCTAGACAAAGCGGATTATTCTTGTTTCCTCCCAACCATTTTAATAAACCGGAAGCAGGACCATCAAAGTTCACCTACACAATACCATTTTAATAAACCGGAAGCAGGACCATCAAAGTTCACCTACACAATACCATTTTAATAAACCGGAAACAGTAACATCCAAGTTCACCTACACAATACAACGGTTCACAATTAAGACCTTAATCTGATAAATAATATGGAAAAATACTTTGTTTTCCTGACTAAAAAACTGTGTGATTTCCATTGAGCAAGATATTTCCAATTCACTCTTTTGCAGAGAAATAATCAACTGAATTAAAAATAAACATTTTAAAGAAACTAGAAAATGCATAACTAACACACACTTGATCAGACAAACTTTTAAGTTGTACCGTTGTAAATCAGGCATCACGTTATTAACTTAAATTTACCTTTTTAGCTGCTTTTCCTTCAATAATCTTTAGTGATCTTTTAACTCTGTCACTTTGCTGTAGAAAATTTTTCATCTGGTTTCTTTCATAAAGATACACTTAAATAAGGATAATGTTTCTGTATTTTAAAATATTTTAAAAAATTGTAGAAAGAGAATAATTGCGTCATTTAGGAACATAAATTCCCTAAAAAAGCATTGTTTGATTTTGACCGCACAGTGTTTGATATTGTGCTTTGTGTATAAGTACTTGAAAGTTGGAAGCGTGTTACATTGTCTTTACTTTGAATCTGAGATCAGAGACTTATAATTTTCAGAGAAACTTCTTCCGGCTAATTTTCTAATCAGCTAATATTTATGCAACCTGATGGATATCAACATCTAAATGTTGTGTAACAACAGGTTTCAAAGATTTTAGGGAGAGGAATTTCAGTTTGAGGTAAACCTTTAGTTCTTTCCGGAATTCATATTTTTCATAAAAGGACTTTCCCCACCATCAAAAATGATTCACCTCTGCAGACTGCATTGAATGTTTAACGACAAAATTTTATTCTTACAAGTATTCATCGAAGCCGGTGTTTTATGCATTATGCAAGTTGTCGATCATTAAAATGATCCAATCTTTTGGATTTTCTGTCATTGCCAAAAATCCCAATTTAGAATAATGAAAAATCTATAATGATAAGACACCCTGTAGCTGTATGTTATCAAGAAACGTTATATTCTTATGTTTATCTTATTTATCTTAAAGTGTTATGCAGCCGTGTTGGTAGCATATATTAATGTTCTTGTACACAGAATATACACAATGTACAGTGATCGATGTTTATATCAATAAAATGAAGTTTACTTTTATATCTAAGTTTTGATTTCCATGCTGTTTAAAAGCTTGCTAATAATAAAAAGTTGAAATCATAAGTCGTCTTCATTAAATTGATTAATACGATGATGACTGTACAAAGTACACATATTATCATATATATTCATACGCTCTGATTTTAAGTTTAATTAAGAACTAATTTCAGGTTGGATAAGGGGTGAAGAGAGTTTTAGTGTAAGAAATCTGTTCCCGAACGGATTTTTTGTTATTTTCAGACAATTTTAAGGTTGGATTCGGGCTGAAGAGAGTTTTAGAAAAAAGGAATCTGTTCCCGAGCTGATCTGTTTGTTACTTCCAAACTTTGGAATACGTACCACCACCCAGACTCATTTTAATATTTACCTGCTTCTATGTCTATTAAGCAAGCTGCTGTAACTTGTCGATATAAAACTTCTTTACTTTGTTTTACTTGTATTTTTCCTCCTCTCTTATTGGATGAACCTTTCTTATGCTTTACAAGCAATTTGGATGTTCTTATCAACCTCTTCCTTTGCTTGTTTTTCTTCGATCTTTTTGGAAGCAATTTGGATGTTCTTATTAACCTCTTCCTTTGCTTGTTTTTCTTCAGTCTTTTGGGTGTTTTCAGTCTACTAGGAGTTTTAGCAATTTTGTATTTCAAGGCGGTAGTTTTGGACATTTTTTTTAAACTGCTTTTAGATTGTTTTTTCTTTTTTGCGCCTAACTTACTTTTCTTTCTGTTTTGTGATTCTGAATTTCTTTTATTTTCAGCTTGGTGTTCAAGAAAATCTACATGATTATCTTCTAGATTTGTGTTGAGTATTTTAATATCATCTTTAATTGTAAACGGTTTAAAGTTTCCAAGACCCGATTCTCTGATAGATCTTCCAGCAAAGTTTGGTTGAGGAAACCAGAGATTCAGTGGAAATCTGTCTGCTTCGCGCCCTTGAGCTGCTACTGGAGTTGGAGTGCTTTTAGAAGCATGCCTACATCCAACTAGAACACAAGTATTATGGTTAAAGATACGAAGTAAGGATGCAGCAATCTTTTTATTACAATTTAACAATCCATAATTTTACAGATATTTCTGTTTAAACTGTTGGATTGCAAGAATTTTTAATATAGAACGATTCATAAACCTTCCCTGTGAGATTTACCATTATTATAAAATAAATTGTCATTTACAACACTTTTTTTTGTGAACACCAAAATATGAATGCATGTTTTCATTTTAAAAGTATTATAGCTATCAAAGTTCCAAAAGCAACATTTATGCCAAAAATTATCTATATAATAAAACAAGACAATGCCATTCGTATATATATATATGTTGCCTATAGCCGGCCAAAGGGCTGGACCGATTGGGCTGAAATTTTTTGTGGACACTCATGGGTTGCAGTGGGGTGTTATAGGCTGAAAAAAGTTTGAAATTTTTTTCTTAATTTTTTGAATTAGAATATATGTAAAAATAAAAAAATAAGTTGGAATCTTTTTTACAGATAAATCTCTGTAATTATTTTTACCTTTTTATGATGACGCTAAAAATATTTCAAAGACAAGCAAAAATGGGATATTTTTTTTCTTTTTTAAATATTTTTACCTAATCCTAGAGTAATTGTTAGTAGGCATGCTGCCAGCACCATGATTATGCTACTAGTGCCACCAACCTTCTCTAGCTTCAAGCCCTACCTCGCAGTACAGGACACCTGTTAAAACTGTAGAGTTGGGCATCCTTAATATAACGTAACCGTTCGTTTTTGATATCTTTTCCTACAGTTCAGTTCATTAATTGTTCAAATCATACTCGTAGCACCATTTTAAAAACCTTTGATTTTGAAATAGGAATAGGATTCTCTCCTATTAAAATAAAGCTCAAATTGTGATTTTGTTACGCATCTCATTTGTATGAAAAATACTAAATATTTAAAAAAAAATTTTTTAGGTGTCATTAAGTACAGTTTTCTAGTATTTAAAGCAGAAATTTAGGCCACGCGGTAAAGTGATCAAGGTCTGAAAAAACCTTGGTTTGAAGGGGCAAAAAACTGCAAACCAAACATTGCAATCTGTTAAATTTTATCCTTAAAGATATGAAAGTTATGCATTTCAATTGGCAAATTATGTAAAAAAGAATTTTTAACTGAGAGATATGCTTAAAAAGTCCTAAAATCTTTTTGAATTATGGAAATGACGACATTCTGTGGCTTCATAATTAAACCAATTGAGGCTTCTGGTTTTGCGTATAGCTACCAATGCCTCCTCTTTATATTACCAAGCTCTTTGATTCATTCTGTTTCACACACAACCAGTGTTCATTTGAATATCCGAGTAGGGTCAACCTTTGCGGTCCTAGTTTGTACTGTACCAGACCAATTTACTATTACTAAAGCGGCAGACCTGCATGGTTAGTTAACAAACTTGAATTTTTTTGGAAAACAATTGGTTGCATTCATCTTTTTTTAATTTGTCATTCGGCGTTCGTTAACGACCCATTTCATTCTTTTTTTTTTTAACTTGTTCAGTAGAAATTTGAATTTGTTTGTTAGCCAAAATAACCAGCTTCAGAATTAAACATTTAGGCTGCGCAGATTCTTCGAATTTGGTCAGATATAATTTTTGAATTTGTACACCTCTTATATTCTAACCTTGAAGATCAATATTTTAAAATCTAGATTTACGATAGGTTAAACACATCTGTAAACTAATTATAACATTTTTAGCTCTAATTAACCTAATTAGCTAATAATCCTCCTGCTGATAATTATCCTTCAAGTTGCATGATTATTATATTCTCCAGGTAACTGAAGATCTTGATGAAGCCTCGAGAAACAACTGCGCAGTTATGAAGATCCACCTATACACTACTCTACTATGTAAGAAGATATTTTTTTCAAAGGACTCTAGAGGTTATTCCATGTGTTTCCTTCAGTTATATGAGTGCAGGCGTGTCCGTTTCAAATCAGTACTACCCTTTAAACCCGTCTTTAAAAGAGAGAGATTTTTGTTCGAACTGAAAATTGAAATTTTTTATTTGTGGTATCTCTTAAAAAGTGACTTGCGGATATTGGCTGCAAAAACACGAAAGAAAAATAACGGAATTTGAAACTTTTATTAAAAATGATGATATCTTAATTATTGCTACTTTGATAGAGTTTTAAAGGTACTGATTTAGTAAATCTCCTACTCCATAACAAATTCTCGAAACGTATCTCTCCAGGTATAACTCGTCCGCTAACAAAGTCAACCAGGACACAATCCACACAGGTACAGTCCTGCGATCTTGTAGCTATTAACAAGCTATAAATATCAATCCCAAATGATGGGGACTATTCAACGCTCTAAATGCCCCTCAGAGACACAAGCCTAGCTTTCTCGCAAGCTATATATCAATCCCAATTGATGCCGGTGACGATCCTCTACCTGTGAAGATGTCTTTATCACAAACTGAACTTATTTAATGTCTATATCTTTGCATCCTGATGGTGTAAACCTTTGATATTTCAATCGTAGATCATTTGATCAAATATGATTAATAATTTTATAATATTATTATCATCTTTTAGGTTTTCTGACTCTAATAACGTGTCAGAAGCTGACTGGAAAACAGGTCAAAATGAAGGGAAAACAGGTCAAAATGAAGGAAACACAGGTCAAAATGTCGTTTTTGTTTCAATAAAGTACAATCGCTTCACAACGGTACCCTTGAAAGCTTTTCATTATAAAGAATGAAATGAATCACTCCACCTTTTTAATTGTAATTTTTTAACTGTCCTTTCTGTATGAATGAACTTTTTAGGCTAGAAAAATAAAAATATCTTCTACATATCAAGGTTTAAAGGTACCATGGTGAATCAGCCATTTTATTATTGTTTATCTGTAGACCGACCCGGATACCTTGTGCATCACAAATTTGGTAACTGCTGAGTTTACTCTAAACAATAAGGTAAATATATAATTTTAGATATCTTTGGCGCTTTGCACCCCCTTTTCTTACAGGAGGGATTTTAGTCGTTGATTTGGACATTAATATATTAAACTTCATAATCTAATATTAGGGAGACTCAAAAAGAATCATGAATACATATCGAGGGCAATTACTTTAAATGTAGAGGGGTCATTTTTCTCATAATTTTAGTTTATTTAGTATTCTTCTGGGTCTTGTTCATTATATATAAATGGTATCTTAAACTTAAATGTTTTGTTAAGAACATAAACAAGGTGGTAGCTTTTCGGCCTGTTCACTTTTTGTAATTCTTATTTTCCTGAACTGTAGTATTTTCTTATTTTTTTTATTGAGGGTCAAAATCTCCACTTTCGAATTTCTAAAATTGATAAATGCTTGATTATTACGATTAAGATGCATTCTTTTATATATTTATGAATAAAATAATTAGAATTTGTGCGATTATACCCAGATTATGTCCAGAGAATTACTTCTTTTTACATCATTTTTTGCATTATCTCAAACTTTTATGTTTTGATCCTGATATCATTGCAACCTAAAGTTTTTATACTTTTGATATTTTAAACTATGAGTTAGGCTTCTTTAAATATTGAATTTGAAACATTAAATCACGTCATTTATCTGATAAATGACGTAATTTATCTGATAAATGACGTCATTTATCTGATAAATGACGTAATTTATCTGATAAATGACGTCATGACTTCTTTATTTAATTTAATTTTAATAATAATTTATTTCAAAAGTTCATCCATTATTTATTTATTGTTTTTATTAGGTCAGATTCTTCGATCAGCAGATATCCAGGATACAAAGCCAGGTCTATGGGATAAAATGGATAAAGGGGGGTGTTAGGTACTTTTCTGAAGATAATTTCCAAGGATGACTTCCCAAGTGACAATTTCACAAAGATATAATTAGGACTTATAAGGCGCTACAGGATAAAAAGGTGCCCAACACTGCGGCTAGGATGGGCTAAGGGTCGAGAGTTGCGGCTAGGATGGACTAAGGGTCGAGAGCTGCGGCTAGGATGGGCTAAGGGTCGAGAGATGCGGCAAGGATAGGCTGGGGGCCGAGAGCTGTTAGTACAGATTGGAATGTTGCCGCGTGGGAAATTGTACATTTGGGAAGTTGCCACTTCGCAAAATACCCTTAGGAAGTTGCCGCTTGGGAAAAAGCCTTTGGGAAAGTACCGAACATCTTAAGGGGATACAGGGGATACAGGGTATATAAAAAGGGGTATAAATGATACAGAAAATATTATGATATTGGTAAAATGCAAAAGAAAAAATATGTTTTATGTGTGCAGATTTTTATTATGGAAAAGAAACAGGAAAAAAAGAATGGATTTTTTATCGTTGCTGAAATGTTAGATGCTATCACGAGTACAAGTATCTCACCATCATGTTCAAATTCCCAAAACAGGTAAATGTTTCAGATGATATATGGACATCAGTTGTCCCTACAGGGTTTCCCAACAAATGTAGGAATTCAGTGAGGACTGTATACGGGTTTTTAACTCTGCAACATTTTGTAAAGTAGTGAAAAAACCGAAATAACACAATCCCATGACCCTGAGATTTCTAAAATGTGGCCAACCTGTTTTCAAAATAGAAAAATTTGGTTTTTATTTCATCTATCTATTGTTTCTAACCGAAATGGATCAACTGATCGAGCCCAAATATTCTTTTTTATCTTAATTTCTTAATTTGCATCGTAGGGATTTAACTGTAGATTTATAATATTTTCGTAACTGTAGATGTATCTCAATATTTTCAAGGATGTAATAGTAGATTTATTTCAATATTTTCAGGGATGTAACTGTAGATTTATCTCAATATTTTCAGGGATATACCTGTAGATTTATCTCAATATTTTCAGAGATGTAACTGTTGATTTATCTAAATATTTTCAGAGATGTAATTGTAGATTTATCTCAATATTTTCAGGGATGTAACTGTAGATTTATCTCAATATTTTCAAGGATGTAATAGTAGATTTATCTCAATATTTTCAGAGATGTAACTGTTGATTTATCTAAATATTTTCAGAGATGTAACTGTAGATTTATTTTCAGGGATGTAACTGCAGATTTATCTCAATATTTTCAGGGATGTAACTGTAGATTTATCTCAATATTTTCAAGAATGTAATAGTAGATTTATCTCAATATTTTCAGGGATGTAACTGTAGATTTATCTAATTATTTTTAGAGATGTAATAGTAGATTTATCTCAATATTTTCAGAGATTTAACTGTAGATTTATCTCATTTTTTTCAGGATTGTAACTGTAGATTTATCTCAATATTTTCAAGGATGTAATAGTAGATTTATTTCAATATTTTTAGGGATGTAACTGTAGATTTATCTCATTATTTTCAGAGATGTAATAGTAGATTTATCTCAATATTTTCAGGGATGTAACTGTAGATTTGTCTGAATGCTCTGGTAGAATTGTTGCCGCCTGCCCAGTGCTGAGCATAAATGAAACCCTAACTGGTAATAAGAACATACATAATCCAAAGTTTGATAATTTTGTTAATAATATTAAATATCCAAATTTTTAAAATATTTTTTACAAAAAATGAAATTCCAGGTGTATGTATGGATCTTGTTCTAGGGTATAAAGCAAAGGTAAAAATATAGAATATTAGCTCTACGGAGACCTAATTTAATGAATTTGAGAGGTAGCTGAATAACTTACCACCGGTTCAAATTCTGAACCACAGGTTTAAACCCTGAACCACCACTTCAAACCCTGAACCACAGATTTTAACCCCCAAAAATTGGTGATTTAAGATTTGAACCGGAGGTTCTAGTTCATGAGCTTGACATTGTCTGAATCCTCATTCAGAGGCGCAACTAGGACTTTTGCTAGGGGGGGGGCAATATATTATTCGAAAATTTTTCAAAAACAAAAGTGCTTTTTTAAGGGTTTGAAGTCGAAAAAAGGAAATTTTAAGTTGTTGCATGCAGATTTGGCTGTGTTCCATTCAAATCGATTTTTTTTCTTGTGTTTTTACAAAATTTATACTTCCAATCATATCAACAAGGTTCAGTTTATAATATTGAAAAGTCTATAAATGCAGAACAACTACACAGAACATTGACAACTTGTCTTAAATTGAATTATTACTAGCCTCAAATTCAAAACTCATAGTTCTTATGTATATGGGTCAGGCTAAAAAATATTTTTCATAGTCATGATCATAATCATAAGATTAAAATAGTCGTGACTTTCCAAACACTGTTTATAATAATAATAATAATAATGATAATGCAAAATTAGTTTTATTTTTTTAAATCTAAATATTAAAAAATCATAGAACAAATATTATAAAGACGATTGTGAGACTCTAGTTATGACTTTAAATGGTCCAATGAACATGAGACACAGACATGTGCAGTGTAAACAGACTTTTCACTTAAGGAAGGGATTTAATAAGTAAGTATTTATATAGATTTAAAGAATGTAGAACATTTTATCAATTTAACTATTTCAACACAGAGTACATTGTACAGAGAGGGCTGAGGGGGGATAAACGGAGAAAGGGTAGAGTATAGAATGCTGATAGACAGTTTGTACAGGGGAATTGTACAGACTCCTTATCATTGAACATAAAGGTTAACATGTAAATTTAAAGAAGAGGGGGATTTTTGCAGACGTCATTTAAGCATAAATGAAAATGCGGAAACTGCAATTAATGTACATTTGTCAATTCGTTTTTCAAACTCCTTAAGTTCAAATATTCAAAATATATTTAGCAATATGAAAAAACATGACGCAAAACATTCAAAATGGCTCTTTTGATATAAAAAGGGGTTCGAGAATACTGAGAATTATAAGCGCGCGAGTATTCCTTCTGTAACTGTAGATGTATCTCAATATTTTCAGGGATGTAACTGTAGATTTATCTCAATATTTTCAGGGATGTAACTGTAGATTGATCTCAATATTTTCAGGGATGTAACTGTAGATTTGTCTGAATGCTCTGGTAGAATTGTTGCCGCCTGCCCAGTGCTGAGCATAAATGAAACCCTATCCCCCCCTCCGAACACCCCATCTATATACGCTCTTGATATGAAAAAATTATGAAACGTTCCTTTAAGACAAATCCAATTCGGAAAATATGTTACAGTCTATAAAACAAAATATGCGTTGGTTGGTCTAGCTTTCCATCCTTCTTTCAAAAATATTTCCATAAATGACATAAGCCGTGGAGGGATAGTCTAGCTCTGTTGCAGAAATGTTGATTTTTCGAAAACTTTAAAATTGTAAATTATTTAAACAAAATTCATATTTTACCTTAGTATAAGCTCTTATGTTTCGGAGAAGTATTGTTATGCCCATCCGATAATTTTCAAGTTTACTGATGATCGTATAACTTCTTAATTTGCAGTTTTATACAACAAATCTTTCATGCTATGGTATAGAACGTATAACTTCTTAATTTGCAGTTTTATACGATAAATCTGTCATGCTATGGTATAGAAAAACTGTTTACTGTTTACATACCCCAGATCTGTGTACACTGAATAAACACAGATGCCGCAACTCTCATTTATCCGATGTACTGTATGCACTACATGATCTACAGAGCGTCCCATATCATATTAGATTATCACCAATCTTTTAACACCAAAATAAACCCTTAATACTCGAAAAACTTAGCATTTTCCGCAAGAAAATTCTTATATAAGCCTTATATTATTTTTCCAAATGATTCATTCTAATTAAATTTTCTAATTAGTCCCGAAAATCGTAATTTAGACCCGTTCTCGGTCTAATATGATGTGGGACACCCTGTATACCTACAGGGTGTCCCACGAAACATGACAGTTGGTGAATAGTTTAAAATGACTTTTTCCATTATTTGTTCAGTGGTTTGATACCAAAGATCAATGAAAATATTACATGGGAGTCTTGTTATATTAAAATTGATTCCAAAGTAAAATATAATTAGGCAAAAGATTTGTTTAACTTAAAATAACTATTTATCAAATGTCATGTTTCGTGGGACACCCCGTATAACACCGATTCCCTTCTGTCCCTGATCTCTTGTCCTTATTGCAAAGACGACGGATTACATCCCTTGGGGATAAAGCTTCCCTTGGTACGAATATTCTCAGTCCCTTTTATCATAAAAAGATTTTAGAATTGTTTATTTTTGTAAATGTTCACATAATGTGCGCTATACAATACAGTATGATTCCTACAATCCGTTACTACATGCCTCTCTAGTATAAAAGTTGAAGTACGCATGCAAATTGCAATACGATTACAGAACAAGGAAATGACAGTTTAACACTTGTTAGGAGTTAATGCACTCACAGCAGGTTAGAAATGCACAGACTACTTATAAGCTCTCGACATGGATAGGCCTATAGTTGTCCCGGCACGCCATGATACATTTCAAAGAAAGGTTTTTTAACTGCCATCTAAAGGCCAGTTATTGCCTACCAATTCAGGGGTTAAGTTTTACAAGTTTTGAAGAAGTACTCTAACTTTTAACATAACACATAAAATTTATGAATTTATTTAATTTTCAAGGTTTTATATTTTGTATCTAAAGAATCCTTAAATTTCCCTGAATTCAAGCGTCTGCTAATTGGTCGTGTGCTCCAGTTGTACACTAAAACCTGCTGTGGAAAATATTGCATTTCATAGCCTTTAATAGATCTAAATACTTTCGTATCTTTGTTATCACTCTGTGTTTTATCTGTACTCTGTGTATTTAGGTTGCTGAGTGTGAAAACTCTACGTATTATCTATACTCTGTGTATTTAGGTTGCTGAGAGTGAAAACTCTACTTATTATCTATACTCTGTGTATTTAGGTTGCTGAGTGTGAAAACTCTACGTATTATCTATAATCTTTGTATTTAGGTTGCTGAGTGTGAAAACTCTGCTTATTATCTATACTCTGTGTATTTAGGTTGCTGAGTGTGAAAACTCTGCTTATTATCTATAATCTTTGTATTTAGGTTGCTGAGTGTGAAAACTCTACGTATTATCTATACTCTGTGTATTAAGGTTGCTGAGTGTGAAAACTCTACTTATTATCTATACTCTGTGTATTTAGGTTGCTGAGTGTGAAAACTCTACGTATTATCTATACTCTGTGTATTTAGGTTGCTGAATGTGAAAAACTTGTTGATTTGAATCTGATCTGTGATTGTTGGGCTGATACCGTAGAACTCAGGTAAGTGAGCAATACGTGTTCAACATAGAGATGGGCACGTACCACATTTTTACAATTTGTTCTTTTTTTGTTCAATAGTTATAAAATTGATATCGTTTGATCTCAAAATTATCGTTCAGTTTTCGTCTATTATGTTCGTTTTTTTGCTGAACGACCGTTCATTAAAATTGTTTATTCAGTAAATCGTTAGTTTAGTAGAAAACTATTAACAAATTGTTCGTTTCGTAAAAATTTATAATTTTTTCCAAATCTTTTGAAAAATTCGATAGTTTTGTAACAAACGATCGTTTTTTCAATTTTGTTCGAACGCTTTTAAATAGTTCTTTAATGTTACTTTTTTTCTTCATTATTAAAAACGATAATTTTTTCATTTCTTTGAACAATCCATTTCGTTCATCCATCATTATTTGTTTTCTGAATGAAACCCTTTTTAAGAAATTTTTTTGTCTTACAATTAAATATTTTGTTCAAAATTTATAATTTCATAAATATGTCAATGGGTTTATACTATTTATACCTAAATCTCATCTATCGTAAACATTTATAAATAGCCATGAAATATGTGGGAACAGTTGGAAAGAGCTTCATTATAATCATTCAATTAAAAAACTAAATATCTGCAGAATTCTATTATCAGTAGGTTTAGAAATCGACAATTTGTATATTATTTCGATGTCTCCAAGTTAAATCTAATTCTATGACAGTGCTCGCAACATTAATTTGTCTTCAATACTTTAGATAGGTCATGCTTATAACCTTAGATTTTCTTACGAATTCGAAGTTTCATTAAAAAAAAGAGTTTTTATATTACATATTTAAAACAAGGATCTCCTACAATGGGGCTGATAATATAGTTAATTTTAGAATGAAGAGATAAATGATAGTTTCTTGATTTGCTTGCGTTTTCTCTTGTCGAGGTCTTATATAAGATTGCTCTCTTTAGGTATATTTACATACTTGGAAAGTTTCATAAATTTATGAATATTACATAGTAAATTATAAAAAATATAAGTTTGAATTTTGAATATGTTCAATTAACACAAGTGATGAACAATAAACGCACGTCTCAATATATTTTATATTAACATTGTATTAACCCTGTTAATCCTGAGCCCACGATTTAAAAACTTTGGATCGAGTCGTAATTCCTTAACCCCAGCTTTATAACCCAATCTTTGACCCAACTCTGAATACAGCTTGTGTCACATGATTGACAGCTGCAAGATCTTCGGCTGGACTAAAAGAGTTAGGCCCAAGGAAAAAAACGTACCTTGGTTGGTTTAAGTGGAGAATAAGGCTCAACGATGAGTCTTGTTCTCAAAAAAACCCAGAATGCGCCAATTCCTACCATAAAAATAGAATATTAAATCAGTTTTTTTAAACACAACTCTATGGAAAATATGATGCAGCTTGAAGCTCAAGCTGTAAATAAGGCTTAATGACAGTTTAGACCCGAGCCGTAATTTCCCGAATTTCCCTGTTTATAGCGGGGTAATAAAGATAATGCCGATTCTATGTTTTTTCTTCTATTTTTTCGAGCAATTGGGGAGCTGATACCAAACAGCTACAGCCATATCAGCGGAATCAATGGATCTCCCCACTGAAATAATGATTATTTAATGTTATGTTTCTTCATAAATAAATTATATTTGATTTAATTTCTGATAAAATTGAGAATGAACTGTAAAATTTTAAAGCTTTTTTCTTCAGGAAAGGTTTAGATGGCTGCAGTGCATTTGAAGAGAGTCAACGAATTTTAAAACAGTTCAATCAATGTAAAAGTGAATTTTCAGCTTGCAAAAAAGCCCAGGTACAGGGAGTTCCAATAAACATGGGAATTCAGTGACGAATTCAATATCGTCTTTTTAAATAGTTCTTTGATTTAGTATAGTGATATCTACTAAGAAAGAATTTCGTCTGCTATGTTCACATTTTGTTTGTTTATGTTTTGACTGCATACGGTTGTACTTAGTATAAAACAAGAAAATTGCAGTATACACACAGAGTAAACTTGTCCGTCTTCACTGTTCATCTTTCGGAGACATTATAGACACATCTTTACAGTCTTTTACCCTTTTCATAAAATAAACTCTAGCAGACATAATACTATTATGGCTTTTGAAATTAGGTATTACAATGCTAATTCATAACAAAGACGATATCGAATTCGTCACTGAATTCCCATGTTTTATTATTAAAAAGATACTTAATTAAAAATTGATCACTTTGTTTGAAATGTTGGATTGGCCAAGGCATTAAATATTCGATTGCCCCCGATGTTTTTAAATGGTAGGGTTTTCTAAAATACATCCTTTCCAAAATGTGGGATTGTTTTTAATAGTCAGCAGAAAAAGAAATATATATTATTATTTTTTATATGGGCATAGTTTTTTTCAACAAACAAAATAATCGGTTTTTAAAATCGAAAATGAAAACGAAAAAATGAACAATTTTAAATTGTTTGAACAAACTTGAAAAAAGATAATTTTTTACAAAACCAACGTTTATTTTGAACAAATTTTTTTTAAAACTATAGTTTTTTTACTATCGTTTTTTTTACTGAACAAACAATTGTGTTTAAACGAACGATTTTACTAACCTACCAATTTTACTGAATGATCGTTCAGAGCAAAAAAAGAACAAAATAGATGCAAAATCGGAGAAGGATAATTTTTAGAACGAACAAAATAAAGTTTTTGAACAATTGAGAAAAATCTCGAACGAAATGGGTCTTTTCACGAACAATGAACGAACGAAATGAAAAAATATCCCCATCTCTAGCACTGATCTCAAGCAGATCTACTAATTGATTTAATTTCTTTTTACATCTCGTAATGGTCGTACCCTGTAGGGATAACTTTAATTAAGGGATCAGGCATGTGATCCTTAAATCTAAAATTACCCACATTGGTTATCGAGATCAATGTTCAAGAGGATCAATATGTACGTACACAGAGTCACTAGTTTATTGGGACACCCTGTACAATGTTATTGTACCTCTGAGGCTCACATTTTATTAAAAAATGGGGGTATCGTTGGGAGTTTAACTTTTAAAAATAATCTCCAAATGTGTGATTAAGGATGCCGCGTCTAAGATTGCCGGATCCTGCCCAGTTGCTAACCTGGATAAACCGGTTATATTTCCCTCTCCTTCACCTTCCCCTAGCTCCAGCTCCAGCTCGACCCAGTTCACAACAGTAGCACCATCAACATCTAATAAACTACAGAAGTTTCACAGATTGAGGCTAAGATATTATAAAAATATATTTAATATATAATAAATGCAAGAGTTCATTATAAATTTTGATAGCATAATATTCAATTTATTTGTCAGTTTATACAGAACCCAAAACAGAAAACTTTGGAAAAGGAAGGTGACATTATAGCTACATTTACGTGAATTTAATGTTTTTGCAACGCAAATAGTTTTTTTAAAGATGCTTTAGCATTTACTGGTTAAGGGTTTTGATTTGTACATGTTATACAGGATATTCATTACGTACTTACTACTAAATGTCACTCTGTGAACTTAGAAATTCTTATTCCAACGCAAAAATTTGGCTCAATACGTATTTGAAACTAAGGCTAGAAAAAAAAGGATTTCAACTCTGAAATTTTTATTTCCAGGGCTTCAATAACTATTTGAGGGCTGAAATGGTATAACCAACCAAAGTATACAGCCTGACGACACTGCAGAGCTGATTATGCAACTGTATCTGTCTAATAAGTAGATTGTTGTTTAGTGTTAGTTGAAAGATACGTTCTCATTAAATGTACATTACTCTTCTAAATATTCATACAGGGTGTCCTCTATACTAAGAAATGGCGATGAGCGAATCTAGTTTATATTTTCAATTCTATAAATTAATCTCAGGTTAATGACCGGCCTTAATAATGTTGCAATTTTGTTCATAAAAATCGACAATTTTACTTTTCTTTTAGACACCCTGTAGTTGAATTAATTAAAATATCCATCAAATTCTCTTCAATCTACATATATTGTAGCAAGGTTATAATGCAAGGAAAGTTATTTCAGAGGTGTATGCATCTTTTGTACTGCAGTGTACTGTCTCTGGGCGGTAATGTAAACACAAGACGGATGTCACAGCCTGACATGGGATCCATCTTTCACAGAAAAAAATCAATGAAATATTCTGGTCATAGGAAACTATCATGTGAGTTATCAAAATTATCAAAATTTAATGCTTTTAACCTCCTCGGATACTAAACGAACACTGAAGCATCTATTCTTGTTTACAAATTCCGCCCGGAGATAACTGGTTTCAATATGTACGCAGAGTATACGCAACTGCAATTAACTGTCCTTGCATTATAACCTTGTATTGTTGTATGTAACTGTCCAGTAATTATTCAGAATTATCCAGAAATTCTAAACTAATACACAAGTTACATTCGTTCTACCTTGATCGTTCAATATCTTAAATATGGCTGCAGAGTGCAGACTATAATGACAGAATTTCACCTTTGGTTTTCTCTCAATGCTCTTAACCCTGTATTTTGTCAATATCTACAATATCTGGGATATTTTTGGCGCAGCTTCTCATATGACTCCAGGCCATGGCCCGGGAAAGTATTATGGCCGATCAAAATTGAAAAATGTTGCATAGAAAACTGTTGATTTTTAAAATTGTATAAAATCCGTTAAGTAAAATAGAAAAATCTTTTAAAAATGTTAGATTGAAAAACAAAATTAGAAGGCAAACGTTGATATTAGAAAAAGAAGCGCATAGTACCCTAAAAGCCTATTTTAATATGTATATATACTATAAGCTCGTTGATTGAATATAAGAACTGATTTATACATTTAGGATATTGGAGGGAAAAAGAAAGGTTTGTCATAGCTTTTAACATCTTTAAAATGTTTCTCAATTTTGCGGGTTGAGTCAAACTCTGTTTTTCTAATCCCTATTTCTTTGCAAACCAATGTCGTAGACCTTTGGATAAAATATACTAAATTCCTGAAAACAATTAATGCATTATAAAACGGAAAGTTTGTCTATGCTTTTAAAAAGAAACCCAGAGCATCGTGAATTCTATGTATACATATGTTTTCCCCTAACAGCCTGTATCCCCTTAATGAATGTTTTTGCCAGAAAACAAGTTTATTTGTTTATGTGCAGTTAGAAGAAGAAAAATATGCATTGTGTTATGGTGCTTCATATAGTGTTTGTACACTTCTATCCTCTTATGTTTACAAAACTAAAGAAATAGATTAGAGTTCTTGTATTCACACATTTCAAACTAGACTATATACAAAAAAAGGTGTAGGAGCTAGGCCTTCACTGGAAATAGTATATCCTGACAAATAAAGATTTTCTAATACGATAGATAAAAGCACTAAGCTATAGTTTTTTTATTTTAGTTTTAAATATTGTATTGTTGAAATCAGTGTTCCGAAGTTCTATCGATAAGGAATTGTTTTAAAGCCTGAATTTCAAGTTTGCAACCAAACAATTTTTATTGGCTATACACAATTAAAAATAAAGAAGTCACAAAAATGGTTCCCTAAAACATAAAATGAAGTTTCTAGTTATGATTCTAGTACATTTATATATGATGTGATAAGTTCATATGTTTTACAATTTACCATGCATATTCCATATATCTTAAAAAACTTATGTAGAGTAATTAAAACATAAAAAACATGCTATACCGGTTTTATGTCTTTTATTGAATATTATTAAATATGCATATTGTTTATTAAAATTGGTGTGCTATATAGCTAGACCACTATAATTCTATGTGACTGTTATCTATAATCCTTTAAGGATTTTCTATTTCAATCTTCTTTTGGTCGACAAAACTTTGAAAAATTGATATTTTCAAAAGCAGAAGAAATTTGTTTACACAAATCTTCCTTAGAAACATTTTTAATATTCATTCTATTGTCGTTGTTAACAAAAGCCTTGTAAACAGTATTCAGATCTTTCTCAATTTTCTCCTTTGCATCCTCTATGTCGAGCGTCAGGTTGTCTGCGACCTCTTTGGAGGTCTTCGACATGTTCTTCGCCATTTTCTCAAGTCCATCCTCTATGTCGAGTGTCAGGTTATCTACCACCTTATTGGAGGTCTTCGACATGTTCTTCGCCATTTTCTCTATTCCATCCTGTATGTCAATCTTGAAGTTGTCTAGGGCCGTCCTGGAGGTGTCCACCATTATATTGGTCTTGACCAAATTATCGAGGAGTGCTAGGAAGGGTAGGCAGGCCAGGAATATAACAATTAGGATACCAGAGATGATTTTCCCAGTCAACTCTCCTTCGCCATTCTTAAATAATTTCTTGTTTAAACTCAACTAAAAATAGATAAGAAGGGGGAGGAGGGGGGGGATGTAAATAAATGACCGCAGGTTTATCTGAATAATTATCAAAATGGATTCATAATATTTATCTGAGTTCAAATAACTTTCATCACATTTAAGTAATGCTTTTTAATGAGATACAATTAATTTGAAATGTTCATAATTTCTAAAATATAAAAAACTAGCTCTGGAACCCAGCTTTGCCTGCATTTCTTGACCATTTTATTCTACCAAGTCTAAGTTCCCCATTTGATGCAAATCATTTCAGGGGTTCATAGGTTATGACCGAACGTCCAATCAAACATTAAAGAGAAAGAGAGTGAGACAGAGATTATCTTATATAAACATAGGAACGTATGAATAAGATAAAACTAAAAACTCATAAAATATACAAAGTTCTGAAGTTATGGATAAATTAACGTCTAAGTATTCTATTTCAAGTTCTGATTTATTTTTTGGTAAAATGAATCTTGAATATAGCCAAATCAGATGTTGTTGACATTAATTAATGGAATTAAAGTGAATTTCTAAGAATAGAATAATCTATATATAAATTTGGCTTGTCTGTCTGTCTGTTTGTTTGTCTGTCTGTTTGTATCCAATAAACGTCAAAACGGCTGAACCGATCGGGCCCAAATTTTTTGTGGGACATCTATGGACCCCAGGGAAGGTTTATGAAAAATCAAAATTTCAAATATTTGTCTCCATCAAAATTCGATCGTCATTAAATTTTAAAAAATTTTGAAAATCCGCGAATTTTTTGTGAAAAATCCGCGAATTATTTTTGTTTTGTTTTACGATGTACACAAAGAGAACATGTTCACAACTAATTTAGAAGATGGGCGCGAAGCGCCCTCTATGGCTAGAAAGAAGGGCGCGAAGCGCCTTGAATTTCTAGTTATTATAAAAAGGTCTAAATAATCATTGATTTACAGGTCCTTTCTTAATGTTAATTCAAGTAAATAAACAGACTAACTACTGAAACCCAGCTTTGCCTGAAACCCTAATTTTCTCTCGAAAACTCTTTATCCGAACATTGCCGTTGTACCGAGTTCCCCAATTAAAATGTGTGGCAAATAGGTTAAGAGGTTCCTGAGTTATGATCGAAGATACATCAAGCAGACAGACAAACAGAGATTATTACTTGATATTTATAGAAGATAAAATTACCCTCAAAGATTTGCAGCCGATCCAGAGTCCACAAATCCAGGTTAGGATAAATAAGTCTACGTAGAGAACCTAAAATATCAAAAACCTGATATTTCAATGATTACCTTAAAGTTTTTAATTACTGCTATCGTTAGATTAAGTAAAGTAGAAAATTGTAAAAAATCAGTAGCGAAAAGTTAATGATTAAACAACTCTTGAGTGAATATAACTCATAAATGTTTTTTTTGTGGCTATAGTAAAATATCATTAGAATTTAATAAATCCCTTTTAAAATCAATTAAGTTTAATTAACGATTTACAACGGTAACCATTTTTATAAACAAAGAAGAGCGAAAACATTCAAATGTAAAAATGTTTCAAATATGGATTAAATGACCTACTTTTGTGAAATTGTTTACAGCATCTTTAAAATTTTTAATTAGTTAAAACTAAGATAAAATAAAAAAAATGAAAAAATAGACATTATAAAAGGACTGTAAGCGTTATTCTAAATAACCCTCCATACATAAATGGCAGTGCCCGATTCACAATGGTGCCTTCAAAGCTTGGACTAGAACCTAGAAAAACGATAATATCTACCACATTATTGATCAGATAAAGGTTTCAAGGGTACCGATGTGAATCGGGCATTGCTATCTTTGAATGGGGGGTCACTTGACATTACGCTTACAGTCCCTTTAATAAAAATATTTTCATTGAAAATTCGCTTCTTGTTTTCTACAGTGTAAAATACCATCTTTAAAAATCCCCTTTTTGATATAAAATATAATACTTTTAATAGAATAGAAACAATTTTGGAAACTTACTGTATGATTAAATGTTAAATATATGAAAATATTGAGATGAATTTCGTCTCAATATTTAATAAACCGCTCTCAAAAGAATGAATAGGGATTTTTGACATATTTCATTTGTTATTTTAAATAAACTAAAGACAAGTTTATGTTCAAAAGCATTTCTATTTGCTGATAACCTAGCAATAGGTTTGTGCACCTAATTGCATTGGTATCAAAAGCTACAACTTACAAGTACGATTATCTTAAATATCTTTTACAGAAAGGATGACAAGAAGAGACAAAAATAAAAAATGTAAAAATTGCTTTGGTTGTCATTAAAAAATCATTTAAATATTCTGTACCTTAATCAGTCTTGAGGAGTTCCAGTATTTGGAAGAATCAATCGCAGTCATGTTTCAGTCTTTTAGATTTCAAATGATGATTGTTTGCGGATTTTCTAAAACGGTTTGGTGGATTTCTTGAACGAGAAAATTAATAATTTAGTACATTTCCTAATTTTCATTTCTTAAATCATGTGACACTACCAACTTAAAACTTTTTAAATGTTTATCTAACGCTTAAAAAAAAATTTGATTTATCTATTTTCTATTATTTCTACATCTGACATGTTTTGACCCTATTTTATATGTTGTTGTTTGTGCTCAGTTGACTCATAAGCTTCTAAAAATATACGGAGGGGAAAGAAGAGAAAATTTTATTGACAAAAATAGAGGGAGCAATGTTTATAACAGAGGGTATGCGACGGGGGGGGGGGGGGTCTAAAACTGAATAGTTTCATGCAATTATTTTATCCTCCCATCATCACCCCAAACACTGAAGCCTGCCTTTCTATTTGAAATGCCCTTTGCTCACATAGATTCAGCCTGCTTATTAAACAGTCTCAATTTTAAAGACAGGGTTGACTTTGAAGTGTCGCAACGCCCTAAGCTTAGATTTTACCGCTCTACGATTTTTGTTTGTTAGCGTGGACCATTAAATCACAGTGTGCTACTCTTCCAGTATAAACTTAAGAATCAATCTTCATCCCTCCCATCTAATCAACGCATAAAAGTTCATGCCCTCCCATCTAATCAACGCATAGTATTCCTTCCTGCTCAATCGTTTGCAACATTTCATGCCCTCACATCTAATCAACGCATAACATTTCATGCCCTCACATCTGATTAATAGCATAGTATTCCTTCCTGCTCTATTCTTCGAACCTCTTCTTGCCCTCCCATCTTGCCTCACCCCGGACTAACCTGAGTTAGATGCAGTCGGTTTATAGACTCAACAATCTTTAAAATTAAGCAGTTGTCTGTGCTATACATTTTCATTGAAAACGCAAAAGCACAAAAAAAGTTTTCGAGAAAAAAAACGAAATATTATGTTTAAATTTTAATAGGTCAGTTGTGATTGAAAGTCCCAGCTTTCTGGAATAAGCACAGAACCGGTAAATCCACGTTTCCTGTCCTGTATTTTGCAGAAGTTCCCACGGCAAAGTGTTCCTTCCTACCCTATGCTTTGCAACATGTCATGCCCTCCTTCTTACCAAGGGTATAGAATTCCTTCCTGCTTTGCAAAATGTCAAGTCCTCCCATCTAATCAACGCAGAGCATTCCTTCCTGCTCCCTGAAATATAGACAACTCTGAAAGTTAGTCAATACAGTTTTAGACAGCCTCGACTTAAAGTGTAGAAACGCCTTGGCTTTGGTTTTACATCACCAACTCACTTATAATTTTTGTAGCCCTAGACATATACATTTTATAATGCAACACGCTTGTTTATACCTTAAGTTTAAAAGAAGTGATTAGCAAATTTAGTGTGAAAGCGTGCAGTGCGCTCAATCCTTTACATCACCTTTTGCCCTCCAACTGTTTTTTTTTCATTTTATTTTCTTATTTCCATGTGTAAACATTTTTTTACATCCATATCTTCTAGCAGAAGATGAATGATATGTATTTTCAATGTTTATGTATGAGCGGCTGGCCGGGTTGACCCGGCCGCCCCGCTAGCTGGTGACAGGTCAGGTTAAGCTCCGGGTATATAAAGGATACAGATTCATCCCTGAGCTCAGATCTGCTTCATCTCACTCAAACGAAGGTTTGAATTAAAACTAATAATCAGTCGTCAAGGATTTTTTTTGGGAGGGTTCATAATAACTTTAAATTTATTGATAAAGTATTTTATATAAATAAAACAGTATCTATAGATTAAGCTGTTTATATATATAAAACAGTATCAATAGACTAAGCTGTTTATATATATAAACAGTATCTATAGATTAAACTGTTTATATATATATAAAACAGTATCTATAGATTAAGCTGTTTATATATATAACAGTATCCATAGATTAAGCTGTTTATATAGATAAAGCCGTTTCTATAGATTAAGCTGTTTATATATATATATATAAAACAGTATCTACAGATTAAGCTGTTTATATAGATAAAGCAGTATCTATAGATTAAGCTGTTTATAGATAAAACAGTATCTATAGATTAAGCTGTTTATATAAATAAAACAGTTTCTATAGATTAAGCTGTTTATATAGATAAAGCAGTATCTATAGATTAAACTGTTTATATAGATAAAGCAATATCTATAGATTAAGCTGTTTATAGATAAATCAGTATCTATAAATTAAGCTGTATCAATAGTAAAGCAGTATCTATAAACAAAGCAGTATCTATAAATAAAGCAGCATCTAAAGATAAAGCAGTATCTAAAGAAAAAGCAGTAATTAAAGATAAAGCAGTATCTGCAGATAAAGCAGTATTCATAGATTAAGCAGTATCTATAGATAAAGCAATATTTAAAGATAAAGCAATATTTAAAGATAAAGCAGTATCTATAGATAAAGCAGTATATATAGATAAAGCAGTATCTATAGATTAAGCAGTAACTATAGATTAAGCAGTATCTATAAATAAAGCAGTATCTATAAATCAAGCAGTATCTATAAATAAAGCAGTATCTATAGATAAAGCAGTATCTACAAAAAAATCAGTATCTATGAATAAAGCAGTATCTATAAATGAAGCAGTATCTATAGATAAAGCAGAATATATAGATTAAGCAGTATCTATAGATTAAGCAGAATATATAGATTAAGCAGTATCTATAGATAAAGCAGTATATATATATAGATAAAGCAGAATTTATAGATTAAGCAGTTTCTATAGATTAAGCAGTATCTATAGATAACGCAGTATATATAGATAAAGCAGAATATAAAGATAAAGCAGAATATAAAGATAAAGCAGTATCTAAAGATAAAGCACTATCTATAGATAAAGCAGTATATATAGATAAAGCAGTATATATAGATAAAGCACTATCTATAGATAAAGCACTATCTATAGATAAAGCAGTATATATAGATAAAGCAGTATATATAGATAAAGCACTATCTATAGATAAAGCACTATCTATAGATAAAGCAGTATATATAGATAAAGCAGTATCTATAGATTAAGCAGTAACTATAGATTAAGCAGTATCTATAAATAAAGCAGTATCTATAAATCAAGCAGTATCTATAAATAAAGCAGTATCTATAGATAAAGCAGTATCTATAGATAAAGCAGTATCTATAGATAAAGCACTATCTATAGATAAAGCAGTATCTAGATAAAGCAGTATCTATAGATAAAGCAGTCAAGAGATAAAGGTGTATTTATACTACAATGTGTCATGAAACTTTAAATAAAGATAGAGCAATCTCTATATATAAAGTAGTAATCATGATATATAAAGAAGTTTGACATAAATCGACTGTTATGGACCTCCAAAACTCTCTGTTTGCGCTGACGGGCAGAGGGAACACATTGTTACTCTGTGTAGCTGTGTATTTACCTGGTCTTCTATAGGGTTTAATGGGATTTGGGGAAAACAATTCTTTTTAATGCAAATTCGAGAAATGTGGATTTAGTTCATGATATGTCTGAAAGTTTATCTAAAGGAATTCAGCTTTAGTTTGATATTTCAAACTATGAATTCTGTCAGATCAAATACTCTAAGTTTGAAATATAAAAGGTTACACAATGATGTTGCAAATATATAGGGATGAGAAAGTTTGAGCCTGTAAGGGAGACTCAATTCCTTTTCTTATTAAAACAAAATTTTCAAATCTTTTCTTCTTTTTGATAAGAACCTTTATTGCCCACTGGAAAATCATATTTTGACATATTATAAAAAGTGAAAGTTCATAATCCAGTTTACGTTAGTCAGCTCTTGTGATTTGTATTTTGAGAACAAAAAAAGTTTTTATTATTCATATTTATTTGCTTGATATTTGAGTCCAGACTTTTGAAAAACCCATCATGGCACATAGAACCTTCCCCCAATCTTTCAGTACATATGCACTGAGCAGCCCCAGGAATACTGATTTATTAATAACCATGTTTTTTAGCTCATCTCCTTCCAAGATGCCTGGCCATATAAAGAAAACAACTGGACCAGATCCAGATCCAAGCCCTTGGCTAATTGTATCTCCTGAACTGAAGGAGAAGAACAAGGCCAAGCCTTATGATCCTAAGAAGTCTGTATGGGTTCCTAACAAGGCTGATGGAGGATTTGTGGAAGGGTTGATTGAGTCCAAGGATGGAGCAAAGATATCCGTTAATGTCAAGGGAGAAGTTAAGGTCTTCAAGGAAGATCAAGTTTGCCAGGTTAACCCTCCTAAGTTTGACTGTTCTGATGATATGGCCAACCTGACCTATCTTGGAGATGCCTGTGTTCTGTGGAACTCTGTCATCAGGTATGTCAATGAGTTGATCTACACCTACTCTGGACTCTTCTGTATTGCCATTAACCCCTACAAGAGGTTTCCTATATACACTTATCGCACCATGGAGTTGTACACTGGTAAAAGGCGCAATGAATGTCCTCCTCACATCTTTGCAATTGCTGAGGGAGCTTACCAGGGCATGATGAACTCTGGTTGCAATCAGTCTATTCTTATTACTGGAGAGTCTGGTGCTGGCAAGACTGAGAACACTAAGAAAGTCATTGCTTACTTTGCGACTATCTGTTCCTCTGGTAAGAAAAAGGAAGGAGAAGCTTCACTTGAGGACAAAATTGTCCAAACCAATCCTGTTCTTGAAGCATGGGGAAACGCCAAGACTGTAAGAAATGACAACTCCTCTAGGTTTGGTAAATTCATTCGAATCCATTTCAATGCTTCTGGAAAGCTGTCTGGAGCTGACATGGTTGTTTATCTTCTGGAGAAGTCCAGACTGACTTATCAGCAGCCACTGGAAAGATGCTATCATGCATTCTACAATATAATGTCTGATGCTGTACCAGACCTTAAAGAGAAATGTTTATTGTCCGACAACATCTTGGACTATTGGTATGTTTCTCAAGGAAAGATCAGTGTACCCTCCATTGATGACAAAGAGGACATGATGTTTGCAGATGAAGCCTTTGATGTGCTTGGCTTTACTGAGGATGAAAAGTATGATGTTTATAAGAATACAGCTTGCATGATGCATATGGGTAACATGACCAAGGACTTTGTTCCAGTTGGTAAAGAAGAGCAAGCTGAAATTAAGGATGATACTAATGCTATCAAAGTTGCTGCATTGGCAGGTATTGATGCAGAGTGGATGATCAATTACTTCTGTAAACCAAAACTGAAGGTTGGAACTGAATGGGTTAACAAGGGATCTACCTGCTCTGCTGCAGCTAACTCTGTGGCTGGTATTGCTCGAGCTATTTATGAAAGGAGTTTCAGGATTGTTGTTGAGAAATGTAATGAAACTCTTATTGACCCAACCATGAAAAAAGTCCAATACATTGGTGTCCTAGATATTGCTGGCTTTGAGATCTTTGATTACAATGGATTTGAACAAATCTGTATTAATTATGTCAATGAAAAACTTCAGCAGTTCTTTAACCAGCACATGTTTACCCTTGAGCAGGAGGAGTATGTAAGGGAAGGTTTAGACTGGGCCAATGTTGACTTTGGGATGGATCTTCAAAAGTGCATTGATATGTTTGAAAAGCCTATGGGGCTCTTAGCTATATTTGAAGAAGAGTCTCTATTTCCTAAAGCAACTGATCAATCCTTCTGCGAGAAACTTCATTCTAATCTACTAGGAAAGTGGGAAAACTTTGCTAAACCAAATCCAAGGCCTGACCCTGATGCTCATTTTGCAGTAATCCATTATGCAGCTGTTGTATCCTATAATCTAACTGGCTGGCTTGAGAAAAACAAGGATCCACTTAATGACACTATAGTGGAGATGATCAAGAATGGTTCTAACTCCCTAATGATTCAGTGTTTTGCAGATCATCCAGGACAGCCCTTGGAAACACCAAAGGATGATGGTGGTAGGAAGAAAAAAGGTGGTGGCAAAACTGTATCTTCTTATTTCAAGGGACAACTTGATGATTTGATGACAACACTTTACAAGACTGAGCCCCACTTTATTCGTTGTGTTGTACCAAATACACATAAACAGCCTGGTGGGGTTGAGCCAGGGCTTGTGATGCATCAGTACCAGTGCAATGGTGTTCTTGCTGGAATTGCTATCTGCAGGAAAGGATTTCCCAACAAGATGATATATGCAGAGTTTAAAGCTAGATATAATATTCTTGCTGCAAAAGCTGTTGCAAAATGTAAAAATGATAAATCAGCTGCAGGAGCTGTCTTGGATGCTATCAAGCTTGAGAAGGAAAAATATCGCTTGGGCCACACAAAGGTCTTCTTCAGGGCAGGTATTTTGGGTTTCATGGAAGAAGTTCGAGAAGATAAAATTGGAGAAGTTCTATCATGGCTTCAGGCTGGAGCAAGAGGAAAAGCATCTCGCATGCAATTTAAGAAACTTCAAGATCAAAAGCTTGCACTCTACTGTTGTCAAAGAACCATAAGAAATTACTACATTGGCAAGACCTGGCTGTGGTGGCAAATTTGGATGCTTGTCAAACCACATCTGAAGTGCATGCAATTTGGAAAGTATAAGGCTGAATATGAAAAGAAAATTGCAGTTGCTGAAGCAAACATTGATAAAGCAATTGCTGAATGTGACGCTGTTATAAAGATTCATGACAGACTTGAGAATGAGAAACAAGAACTCCATCTTGCCCTTACCTCTGGTGGATCAGCTGTACAGGACATAATTGACAAAACTAACCGTCTTGAAGGAATGAAGAATGATCTTCAGAAACAAGTAGATGAAACCAAAAAAAGAATTGCGGCTGAAGAAGATGTCATTGCTGGAATACAGCAAGCTGGCAACAAGGTTACAGCTGATGCTCATAGACTTAGAGAGGAGATAAAAAATCTTGAGAATGCTGCTGAGAAATGTGAAGAAGACAGAATCACAAAGGACAACCAAATCAAAACTTTGAAAGAGGAGATCTCTCATCAAGAAGAGTTAATTGCCAAGATGCAAAGAGAAAAGAAATCTGTAGGAGATGGAAGGCAAAAGGTGGAGGAAGATATTCAATCTATGGAAGATCGTTGCAACCACTTGGCCAAAGTCAAAGGAAAGCTGGAGCAATCTCTTGATGAATGTGAAGATGCTCTTGAGAGAGAGAAGAAATGCAGGGGGGATGTAGAGAAGATGAAGAGAAAGATTGAGGGAGACTTGAAACTAACCCAAGAAGCAGTTTCTGACTTGGAACGTGTCAAGGCTGAGCTTTCACAAACTATACAGCGCAAGGAAAAAGAGCTCTCCTCTCTCTCTGCCAAAATAGAAGATGAACAAACTCTTGGTGGTAAATACTCCAAGCAAATTAAGGAACTTCAGTCAAGAATTGAAGAACTGGATGAAGAATTAGCAATTGAGCGCCAAAACAGGGCTAAGGCAGAGAAAAATCGCTCAATTCTTTCAAGAGACATTGAAGACATTGGAAGAAGACTTGAGGAGGCTGGTTGCAATACCAGCACTCAGATTGAATTAAACAAAAAGAGAGAAAGCGAGCTTGTCAAGCTAAAGTCCGACCTTGAAGAGGCAAACATTGCTCATGAGGGAACATTGGCAGCAATAAGAGCAAAGCATAACAATACAATGTCAGATATGGGAGAACAAATTGACTCTCTAAACAAAATGAAAGCTAAGTCAGACAAAGATAAAGCTGGGATGGAAAGAGATCTTCAAGAAGCTAGAGCTGGACTTGATGAGTCTATGAGGGATCGTGCTAACATTGAGAAGAATTGCAAAATGACTCAAGCCTTGATTGTGGAAAGCAATACTAAACTTGATGAACTGGCACGTGCTCTTAATGAAGCAGACTCATCCAATAAAAAGTTGTCTGTTGAACATCAAGATCTTATTAGACAAATAGAAGAAACAGAGAATGCTATTGCAACTTTAGGAAAAAATAAGGTATCGTTGACCACTCAGCTTGAGGATACCAAGCGTCTGGCTGATGCTGAAGGTAGGGATCGGGCATCTTTGCTCACCAAATTCAAAGGACTCAGCACTGAGGTGGAAAACCTTAGAATGCGAATTGAAGAAGAAGCTGAAAGGAAAAATGATGTTTTGAGAGCACTCTCTAAGGCTCAAGCAGAAATTCAATTGTGGAGGTCTAAATTTGAAACTGAAGCACTTGGCAGAATTGATGAGCTCGAAAGCAGCAAAGCTAAGCTTAATGTCAGAGTGCAAGAAGCTGAAGAAACCATTGACTCACTGAATACAAAAGTTTCTGCCACAGAAAAAACCAAACATAGGATAGAAGCAGAGCTAGAAGAAATGCAGATGGAGTATGAACGTACTCATGCTGCTGCTGTTATAACAGAGAAAAGAGGACGCAATTTTGACAAAGTTGTTGGAGAATGGAAAGCAAAAGCAGATGATTTGTTGGCTGAACTTGAAGCCTCCCGAACAGAATGCAGAAATTACAATTCTGAAGTGTTCCGTCTGAAGGCTGCATATGAGGAAACTGTTGAACAACTTGATGTTGTAAGAAGAGAGAACAAAAACTTGGCAGATGAAATCAAAGATCTCCTTGATCAACTTGGTGATGGGGGTCGCTCCATTCATGACTTGGATAAACAGCGTAGAAGACTAGAGGTTGAAAAGGAAGAGTTGCAGGCTGCTCTCGAAGAGGCTGAGAGCGCTTTGGAACAAGAAGAAAATAAGGTTAAATTCTCATTTGTCTAGTTTGTCTGAATCCGAATAATAATCTCTATACTACAGGTTCTCAGGGCTCAGCTTGAACTTGGACAGGTCAAACAAGAGATTGATAGAAGAATTCAAGAGAAGGAAGAAGAATTTGACAATACCAGGTAAATCTTTTAATTATATTATGGATTAAACTAAATGCTGGTATTGGTACTCTAGAAAAGAAAAGTTTTGTTAAACTGAATTAGTAAAATATCTGGAGCATTTTTTCTAATCTTCAATTATTTACCTTCTTCTTTAAAAAGAATGTTAGAAGGAATAAGGAAGACAAAAAACCTTGGTATTATCTTGATTCTCAAAATGTGATTTTAGGAAAAATCATGCTCGTGCTATGGACTCCATGCAAGCTTCACTTGAATCTGAACAGCGAGCAAAAGCAGAGGCTCTCAGGTGATGATCTTTAATAACCAAACAATATTTTTAGTATTTACACATGTTCAAAGAAAAACTTGAGATAAGAAATCATTACACAAATTCCAAACCTTAATTATCTAAAAAATAATCATGATTATGGTTTTATTCACCTTTTTGCAATACAGGATAAAGAAAAAGATAGAAGGCGACATTAATGAGCTGGAGATTGCCCTTGATCATGCAAATAAAGCTAATAATGAAGCGCAAAAATCCATTAAGCGTTATCAGGTACATTTAACAAAAATTAATTTCTAAATTTAGAAAGTTAAATAAAATGTCAATTATAGGGACAACTAAGGGAGTCAGAATGTGCATATGAAGAGGAGTCTCGCATGAGAGCTGAGATGACAGAAAAGGCTTGTCTGGCAGACAGAAGAGCCAATGCCTTACATGGAGAGATGGAAGAGGCTAGATCTCTTCTTGACTCAGCTGAGAGAGGAAAAAAGCAAACAGAAGCTGAACTTGCTGATGCAAGAAATGCTGTTAATGAAATGAACACCATTAACTCTAAAGCTGCAAGTGAAAAGCGTCGTGTAGAAGGCATAGTGCATACAATGCATGCTGAGATTGATGATATGCTCCAACAAGCAAAGAACAGTGAAGAGAAATCCAAGAAGGCTATGATTGATGCTGCTCGTTTAGCTGATGAACTTCGCGCAGAACAGGACCATGTCAACACTCAATCCAAAGCCAAGAGAGCCTTTGAGACACAACTTGTTGAGCTGGAAAACAAACTGGATGAAGCCAATGAGAATGCAATGCGAGGAGGTAGAGCTGCCATGGCTAAACTTGAGACTCGTATTCGAGAGCTGGAAATTGAGCTTGGAAGTGTTCAATCAAGAACCTCAGATAATGCTAAAGGACACCAAAAGTGTGAGCGACGTGTAAAGGAGCTCTCATTCCAAATTGATGAGGACAAAAAGAATCAAGAGCGCATGTCTGAGCTTGCCACCAAGCTGCAGCAGAAAATAAAAACTTACAAGAAACAGATTGAAGAGGCAGAGGAGATTGCAGCTCTTAATCTTGCTAAGTTCAGAAAGGCCCAGCAAGAACTAGAGGAGAGTGAGGAGAGAACTAGAATGGCTGAGGGACAGCTCTCCTCCATTAGACAAACTAGAGCAGGATCTTACTTTTAAGATTTGCCCAAGATCAGACAAGAGATGAAGACCAGGACTGAACCGGAAACCAGATACTGCCAAACACTGTTCTGTACTCCTTTCCTTCTATTTAACCTCCTTCAAATCTAACAAAGCATAAGAAAAACCAAAAAAAAATAGCACCAGACTACTTTGACAGCCAGATATTCTTTAAAACAACAGCAACATCAAGTGTAGATAGACTAAACAGTAAATAAATATATATATTCAACATTTTATACAACTAATATTTCACTAATCAACTAGAGAGCAAAAGAAATGTTTTTTTTCACTTTATTTAATTTAAACATCCTACAAATTGATCTTAGATTTGACACATTCAAAGCTTTCAGAATCATAAAAATCACTTCAATAAAACCAGGTTTTTAAGATGTGAAAATATTTATTACTGTTACAAATTTAAGCACACAAATTTAACTAGAGGGGGATCATTTATTCGGCGTCCTGTCCCGTTTTGCCTGATACAGTTTGTATTTGTACTGTACTGTCTGGCCTGGCTAGAAAATTCGGCCCGATACATGAATTGAACTGGAATGTACCGTGTATGTTATACAGACGTACATTAGCTTAGCTTTTTCAAAGTATTTATATAAGCTTCTTGAAACATTATATTTTCCATAGTAAAAATTCTCAAATCTTCAATATTTTTTTGAATCGTTTCTTACTCTTTTCCTTCCAGACGGAAAAATTGAAATTTTATAGAGAAAGGTAAATCAGCAGATAGTTATAGTATAGGTGTGTTCTGTGAATTTTTCTAAGATTTTTTAACTTTTTTAATCTAATTGAAGATTTAGGAATCTGAAATATGAAAGGTTTGTTTTAAACAAACAAATCTGCAAATATTGATGTTCTAAAGCCTTTAAGTTTTAAGCCTGCATGGAATTCGTTGATGTCAGAGAATCTATACTTAAACAGTATAGTATCCAGAGTAGTGCTGATGTCAGAGAATCTATACTTAAACAGTATAGTATCCAGTGTATTGTTGATGTCAAAGAATCTATACTTAAACAGTATAGTATCAAGTGTATTGTTGATGTCAGAGAATCTATACTTAGACAGTATAGTATCCAGTGTATTGTTGATGTCAGAGAATCTATATTTAAACAGTATATTATCCAGTGTAGTGTTGATGTCAGAGAATCTATATTTAAACGGTATAGTATCCAGTGTATTGTTGATGTCAGAGAATCTATATTTAAACAGTATAGTATCCAGTGTAGTGTTGATGTCAGAGAATCTATACTTAAACAGTATTGTATCTTGTGTATTGTTGATGAGGCCTTCCGCAGAGGAAATATTCTCTTTGAGCTATTTTTTTATTTATTGAATTTTTTTAACATTTTCCTGGCGCGTTCACCATGATTTTCCTCTTTTTAATCTCAAGAGAGGAAAGGGGCGATTGCATCCCCCCCCCTCCTATCCGTATCGTTACCCATTTGCATTTCCTTTCAAGCAATTCCTAGAATTCATTTCCTTTGAAGCAGTTTTTAGGTTCCATTTATTATCAAGCAGTTCCTAATATCCATTTAATTTCAAGCAGTGCTTAGGTCCCATTTTATTTCAAGCAGTGTCTAGAATCCGTTTTATTTCAAGCAGTGTCTAGTATCCATTTCATTTCAAGCAGTTCCTATAATCATTTTATTTCAAGCAGTGTTTAGAATCCATTTCATTTTAAGCAGTGCCTAGCATCCATTTTAATTCAAGCAGTTCCTGTGATCCATTTTATTTCGAGCAGTTCCTATGATCATTTTATTTCAAGCAGTGTCTAGAATCCATTTCATTTCAAGCACTGCCTAGCATTCATTTTAATTCAAGCAGTTCCTATAATCCATTTTATTTCAAGCAGTGTCTAGAATCCATTTCATTTCAAGCAGTGCCTAGCATTCATTTTAATTCAAGCAGTTCCTATGATCCATTTTATTTCAAGCAGTTCCCATCATCCATTTTATTTCGAGCAGTTCCTATAACCATTTTATTTCAAGCAGTGTCTAGAATCCATTTCATTTCAAGCAGTGCCTAGCATTCATTTTAATTCAAGCAGTTCCTATGATCCATTTTATTTCAAGCAGTTCCCATCATCCATTTTATTTCAAGCAGTTCCTATGATCCATTTATATTGTGTAGATCAACGCGCTCATAAATATTTCTTCAGGATTACCTATTTCTTATGAAGTTATCCTAAACGCAAAGATGGCGCTGCTTGATTCACAAGTCCTGGCGTTGATATTTTTTAACAAATAAAACCTTGGTTTTTATTTTCTCAATTGCAGAACAGAATACACACAATGTTTGCAACGTCTCCATTTCAAACTAAGCCTGCTCGCGTTCATTGAATACAATTACTAACCAACGTGATCTGGAGTTTTATTTTTCTCACTTTTGCGAGCATGAAATTTTGTAAAAATGTTGACAAACTCTTATATATTAAGCATTCTATGTGTACAGTGAGCTGGGAACTTTAGAATGGTGGATATCGAGATAAGTCCTTAATCCTCTCTTTTTCTTGATCTCGAGAAAAACTTAATCTTGTACTTGTATCCTGAAAAGGTATAAAATTCAACCAATCATAGTCGCGTAACAAAAGCCGATAAATTTGAAATTTTGCGCGCCATTTAAGATTAATATAATTAAAATACACAAACGGGAAGGACTCTTAATTTTAAAAAACCGGTCTTTGATTTTTCTGTACTTTATCCAAAACAGAGTGGGTTAAGCAAGAAATCAAAAGTGTCCTCATTGGTTATTCGGATTAAGCAGTCGTGATTAATGGTATTCCATTCTAAAGTACCCAGCTCTGGATATATTAAGATCAAGCTATTAACAAAATCTTAGAAATATTTAGTGTGAATGAATGATTAAATGGACTGTAAGAGCAATTTCAAATGACCCTCCATATAAAAAAATGGCAATACCCATATCACAACTGTACCCTTCAAATCTTTGCCTGATCAAGTATGAATTTAATATCAACGTTAGAAATATTAAAAACTGACTATTTTCATTGTATTTACTGTGCAAAAATTATTTGCACATTTCTACTGCAAGAAAACATCAGAATTTAACACTTTCGGACCTAGAGGACAATACTTCTACATTATTGATCAGAGATAAAGTGTTCAAGGGTACTGCTGTGATTATTGCCATATATGGGTCACTTGAAATTACGCGTACAGTCCCTTTACAGGTGGTTGAGACAAACTTTATTTAGAATCATGCTCGTACACTTTGAATTTTCCTGATGAAAAAAAAAACCAATATTACACAAATGTGAACAAAGTGCGACCTATACAGTATACACCCAGATTAAAAATTCATTTAATATCTTTACAATTAAAGGAATTATTCACCTACAGTACAAGGAAGACGATTTTTTTGTTTAAGTTTCGATTGTTAACAAGCTTTTTTTACAATTACAAGTTTACAAGTAATCAAAAAGAGGCTTTTTTATTGACTTCTATTTTTAATGTTTATGTATATTCATGCTATTTAAAAGTTTGATTTAAATCAAAATTGAAATCAAAAGTCGTCTTCATTGTATTGATAAAATCGCTGTCCATTGTATACAAAGTTGGGCAGAAGACCTCAATTTTAGCCATTTTTATCCTGGTTAATGGATAATAGATATAAATGGCGTTTTTTTTGGGGGCCAGTGAAACCAGGTTTTGCGTGAAGGAATTGAGTATTTGCCACAAAATTTGATGTTGTAGTTTCTATATATCTGCAACCCAATGTTTTTAAAGACATTCCAGGGGGAGGTCAACCCCCCTCTATACGCTTCAGCAAAGTGGTAAGATTTTACAATGGATTTTTAAATAGGTGAACAATTCCTTTAAGCAATCCTTAACACTAGGTGAGGTAATACATTCACAATAAAATTCTTTTAAATTTTAAACTTACATTGATTTTTTACATAAAAAATTACGATTTTTTATAATGGAGGCAAATAATATAAAGAACCATGAGGTTCTAGAAACTTCCATCTTATCAATGTTTAAAAACAACAATCATAGAATACTAGTGTAAGCTTTCATATTTACACATACAAATTTTTGATAAAATGTTAAAAAGACAAGGTTTTTTCAGTCATCATTTTACATAAATTGTACAAAGTGTTGGTTTTTAATATGTGTTCAATGATTTAATACATAAAAAAACAGTTTATATTTCTGATAAAAAAATGTTTGCTACAGTAACAAATTTAAATAAATTTGAATCATTCTATCTGTTTATGACGCTAAAACATGATCTTTAAAGGCATCTTATCGCTTGGAATTAAGTAAGCAAAATAAGTAAAAAAAATCAGCAAGCGGAAAAGTTCAATATACAGTTTTTAAATTTCAATCAGCAGTTTCATTGGAAATCTTATAGTGTACGGAAATTTTAGAACATCACTATGTTCCCCATTTTTCCTTTCAAGTTTTATGCTTTAATAATTTTGTTTTAGCCCATTCAAGTAATATTTACATGACAAAGAATTTTTTTTTGATCAATTCGTAATAAATAATATACCAGTTTCATTCTGGAGGAAAGAAAGAGAGAAACTTAATTACAAATTTAAAATAAACAGGAAAATATTATTAAGATATTATTAATTAAACGTTAACTGTAAAAAAAGAGGGGCTTATTCAAAGCATGAAAATAAACAGTAAAAAGGGAAAGTGAAAAAAGTCATTTAATATACATTCTTTTTCTTTTCTTAATTTTAAACAATCATCATTGTGCAATATATTCTCAATGCTGCTTAAATCTTCTTCTTAAGCTATAACTGAACGCTATTCCGCTACAACTATAACTGTCTGTAGCTATAGCTGTAGCTGGAGCTGTAACTGTAGCTGTAGCTGGAGCTGTAGCTGTAGCTGTAGCTGGAGCTGTAGCTGGAGCTGTAACTGTGTCTTTAGCTACACCTGTAACTGATTGTATGTTCAGCTGTTAGAACTACACTTAAGAGCCGGTGAACCCATTTGTTGCAGGACCTTATCCAACCATTGGAGGGGACCGTTCAGATGCAATTCGATCCAACACGGCGTTGAGGTCACCGTCTTCCGCCTATACTCCTCACCCCAACCCTTCACAAAGGATATCCTAAAAACAAAACAATGTCAGTAGAAATCCTAGCGCTGTGTTCGACCTTTTTAATCCATTTTTAAAATTAAAAAAATAATAAAATGATTCGTCAAACTTTCAAACAGCCTCGTCTTTAAAGCGTCGCAAGGGCATGTGGGCTTTGAATTTACATCAACTTTTGTTGTAGTCCTAGAACCCTCAACTATGCTTTAGTTGAGTACTACAGTGGTGTGTAGTACTCTGACCGAAGAAAAAGTGGGGTTTAGTGGAGAGGGCTTATTATTTACATTATAAAACTACAACGCGCTTGTTTCTTACTTAAGTTTTAAAAGAGTAATTGGCAAAATACTACTCGATTTTTGCGTGAGAGCGTGCACATCTTGGTTCACAGTGGATAAAAATAGGCGGAGTGGAATTCCTGTTGTGCGCAATGTCCCGTAAAATTCCAAAACACAGAGAGGGGGATTGAATTTTGTAGATCCAGAAAAATAATTAAATTAGTATTTATTTAGGGTTAGGTTAGGAAAAAACACTTTCTGGGCTAAGCGCTGCGGCTAGGGGGCCGAGCGCTGCGGCCACATGTCCTACATTTAAGACCCCACCAGCTGCCAGTCTCTACGCAGGCATCCCTCAGATATTATTTTTCTGGATCTACAAAATTCAATCCCCCTCTCTCGGTTTTGAATTTTACGGGACATTGGGCACAACATGAATCCCACTCCGCCATAAAATTAAGCTCAGCATCATAAGGCGTGATTCAGCTAGTACTCCTATTGGTGAATATTCCGTCCTTCTGCCTCAAATCCCCAACTTTACATAATACTTTTAGAAATCTCACTTGTTTTTCAGGACAATAAAACCTTACTTTTTCTATAACAAACACACCTAACACCTGGGGGGAAATATTCATCAAAGAAAGGGGGAATGCTTTTTCAAGAAAATATACACCCCTGTCCCCAGACATGAGGCCCCATCGCTGTAAAATCCTTGTTTTGCTGTTGAGTAATATAGGTTTGGATATTGTATGTTTATTCCAAAAAGCATGACAGATATCCATTAAACATTAAACAAATTATATAGCTGAAGTATAAATTACGTAACTTGAAAACCAATGATCACCCTGTAAAATGTGTTAACAAGAATTCAACTAAACCTGAACTATAAAATGAAGTTTTAAACATCGACAACCTCCTACCCTGTTCACTGTGCAGGGTTACCCACAAAACATGAGACTTTAGAGACTGTCTGTACGGAATTGTCCTTACAAACATTGTTTCCAAGTTTAAAAAATCCATATTTTCTTGGCAATTTAAACATGAATCGCAGAGATAGTGCAGTGTACACAGACACATTTCACCTGGTTTAAACTATTTGCTCTATAACAACATCGCATATTCCTGAGATAGTGCAGTGTACACAGACACATTTCACCTGGTTTAAACTATTTGCTCTATAACAACATCGCATATTCCTGAGATAGTGCAGTGTACACAGACACATTTCACCTGGTTTAAACTATTTGCTCTATAACAACATCGCATATTCCTGAGATTGCTTAAATCAAGTTAAATGATGTCTCCCTATTCAACAGTAAATCTAATTTCATTGGCAAATAAGTTTCAGAAAACAATTGAAATATGTTGACAAAACGTACATGGATAAAAAATGCCATCAGTATCGCAAAATGTTCTATTTGTACGTTTGTTCTCTTAAAAATCCCCATTCTCTTAAAATGTAAATATAATTTAAAAACAAATTGCGCTTGGCGGAACATTTTCTTCCACTGAGAAAATAACTGATATTGCGGAAATTAAATGATTATTATGTAAATAGTATCAAAAAAGGGGAAAACTTGCCAAATAATGCTTAATTTTGTTCTCCCCCACCCTCTGATCTATGAAAATCATTATTCAAATATATTATACTAGCTGAAGGGCGTTGCCCGTGGAAAAAACAAATTTAAAAAAAATACTTAAATTTTTTTTTCGAATATTCTTAGCTTAAAAAACCCAAGGCCACCCATGAGTGTTCAAAAAATGTCAGCCCAATCGGTCAAGCCGTTTGGCCGGCTAAAGGCAACATATATATATACGAATGTCTTGTTTTATTATAATTAGCTAATTAGCTCCAATAGATAGATAAGAAGATAGAATATAATGATATATATATCTATATATATTGTTATTCCTTGTTTACCTAATTGAACACATCCTAGCCAAGGCATAGACAGCCTCGAACCCCTGGTTCACGGACTGGGAGAGAAGAGTCGCAAACTGCTGGTTGTTAAATATCTTCAGGTTACATCCTATACAATATAACATATACAATTATATACAATTATATAAAATATTATACAATATCATAAAAATTATACAATATTATACAATAAACAATAAACAATGAACAATGAACAATGAACAATGAACAATGAACAATGAACAATGAACAATATACAATTTACAATTTACAATTTACAATATACAATATACAATATACAATTTACAATTTACAATTTACAATATACAATATACAATATACAATATACAATATACAATATACAATATACAATATACAATATACAATATACAATATACAATATACAATATACAATAATTATATAAAATATTATACAATATCATAAAAATTATACAATATTATACAATATACAATATACAATATACAATATACAATATACAATATACAATATACAATATACAATATACAATATACAATATACAATATACAAAATACAATTGCTCAGGGTACTCATAGTTACTTCCGTCGTTTACCCGGGTTTGGTCGTAAATTACGATTTTAGCAATTTTTTCCAATAAAAGTTGACTTCGTTGACCCGCTCATCTTAGAATCTGAAAACGAAACTAAGAACCTTCTCGAGTTTCCCAATAAAAATGTGAGACAAATCTGTCGAGGGGTTCATGAGTTATGATCGGACATACAAACACACGTACACCCTTATGTAGACAAACAGAGATTAATACTTTATATGTTTAGATAAAGATACAAATTCTAAAACATGTACTTGGCCATTTCATGGAGAATTAAGATTCAGAAACCATTGAAAATCAGTTAATGAATGAATGAACTTTAGCTAAATAAGGGTCTTTAAACCTGCTTATTTTCTATTTTTAAGTTTTTAATGAATTTTCGTGCTTTAATTCATTTAAATTTGGAACAATCTCATCGATCAAAATAGAGCATATAATTCACAAAACAAATAGTTGTAATTTTATGATAGTAAATAAAGAAACTGAGTATTTTCCACATACTTAAATTTTCTAACCCCTATACCTTCGCAACATGTTTTTTAAACTTAATTATAAGATAATTACATCCAACACACGGGCAGCCGTAGTACATTTGAATTTACGAGCCGGGTCAACCTTTCCGGTCCCAGTTTCTATTGTATCACCCGGACATTGGGTAAAAAAGCAGACACTCAATAGGACTAGCCGGTGCAACAAGGTTGACGCGGTCAGACTTTAGGTTGAATTTACTTTTACTAAAGGGTCAGAGGTGCGTGAACAGAGTTTATAGTTTTAAATTTCTAGAATGATCTTTGAAAACGTTTGTGGAAAAAACTCAGTTACTGTAAAAACTGTAGGTTTCTAAAACTAGGTTTTTATTTTCAAATAAAACTAAATCTTATAATTAAACTTTAAATCAAGAAAAGATTAGATAGGACACCAAATTATGAATCATAGTGTACAGTACAATGTACATAGCCTTGTGAACAGTACAATGTACATAGCCTTGTTTACAGTACAATTGTACATGGCCTTGTGTACAGTACAATGTACATAGCCTTGTGTACAGTACACTGTACATAGCCTTATGTGCAGTACACTGTACAAAGCCTTGTGTACAGTACAATGTACATAGCCTTGTGTACCAACCTGGAGGAATTTTGCAGACTGTTGCCGGATGCCAACCATACTGTTGGTTGCAGTTTGGAGATTGGACAAATAGAGCAGATTCAGATAAACATTCAGCAAACACCTCTCCTCCTAGTTGTAAACATTATATAAACATTCAGCAAACACCTCTCCTCCTAGTTGCAAACATTTTATAAACATTCAGCGAACATCTCTCCTCCTAACTGTAAACATTTTATAAACATTCAGCGAACATCTCTCCTCCTAACTGTAAACATTTTATAAACATTCAGCGAACACCTCTCATCCTAACTGTAAACATTTTATAAACATTCAGCAAACACCTCTCCTCCTAACTGTAAACATTATATAAACATTCAGCAAACACCTCTCCTCCTAATGTTGTAATCAAACATTAGATTAAATATGCTAAAAGGTACTGGCTGCGTAATTTCAAGTGACCCTCCATTAAAGTTGACTTTGCCCGATTCACAACGGTACCTTAAATAGATTTGCCTGATCAAGTCTGAATTATATATATCGATGTTGATAATTTTGAAACCCGATTACTATTCATTTTGGTTTCACTAATGGTTAAACACTAGTCTAATGTACAGGGTTACCCAAAAAGAATGATACTTCAATAAACCGAACGGACAAGGCTAGTGTAAGGTAGATCCAGCATATTTCATGGCTGAAACGTTGTGACAGGGATTCATAAATCAATAATTATTTATTACGCGACCTTGGACATTTCATTCAGTTTTAATTTCGATTTTTATTACTTTCACTTTAAAAAGAATTATTCATGATTTTTAAAAATAAAAAATAGATAATTCGATCCATGAGAAACGCTCTTAAATAGACAAAAATTACTACCGCAGAGTGGCAAGTCTGATTCCCAAATTCACCCATGGAGTGTAAATTTCCTTGACAAATCATCCCCCCCCTTTTTGAAAACATTCCCCCCCCCCCCCACCCAAGATGAATTTGGGAAATAGAAAATAAGAGGGAAATAAATAAGTTTTTGGGAAAAAAGTACCAAAAAGGGATGAAAACCTAGCATTTTGTGTTTAATTTCCCCTCCCCCCAGGAAGTCGTAATATTAACCTATATAGTAGAGACGAACTCCTCGTCCGATATTCTTCCTGGTCTGCTCCACCACGTTGTTCCTGTTCACGTTGGACAACAGACCCAGACAAAACCTAAACAATAGCAGCTACAGGGTGTCCCCTTGAATACTTGACTTGAATATCGTCTTTGATTTTCGATGTTTGGTAAAATGACAAAAAGTGTATCAAAAAAAGAATTTTATGTCTTCTGAGCTCTTCAAAATGTGGTTTGCATTATATTTTTTAAATTGACGGAGATATCAAACATTTGAACACTGCTTTTTTGTTTTCGAATTAAAGGGAATATTTTTCGACAACTCCGTCAATTTCGAAGGTCCAAAAATGGTAGATCACATTTTGGAATTCCTGAGCCTATTAGTTTCAGATGTTGATTACTTTAAATCACGGAAAAGTTCGTTAATTAGATCGACCCCCACCCCAACTCAATATTCACACATCTACACAGTTGTTGTCGCTAAGGAACAAGATTCTGACGATGAACAGATAGACAAGGAATAACCCTCAAATCAAAATCGATAATGCAGAAAACTCTTTATTTCCTAAAAAAAAATGAAATGAATAATGATAAATAATTATTACAATGGTTTACAAATTTATAATGAAAAGATTCTTACGATCTATTTGCTTATTTGTGGGTTAACAGTCGAAAAGTCCGAAGACGCTTTTTATACATTAAAACTTCTGAAAAGATTAACAATTAAATGTTGATGAAAGTCACTAATTCTTTAAATGAAAATATTCTTGTTTAACTTTGAAATGGTTCACAATTAATAAACGTTTATACTCCGTTGTCGGAGAACAAAGAAGAAAAGCGGGCTGAAATTGTTTGGTTTGGTTTCTCGTCTCCGAGAGGAGCTTTTAAGTTGAAGACGACATTACATAGAAGGGGGGGGGGGTCTTAATGTTAATGGTTGACAACAGTTTGTTTTTAATCTTTGTGAAGAAACAATCTCAAGGAATAATAATTGTCTAAAAACATTTTTTTAGAAAGTGAATATTTGCAAATTATCTTTTTTCCATCTCATAATCTGAGTTCTTTTCCCTTATGTCCATTTGACAGCCCAAATTTTTATTTTGAATAATCTTTTTGTTTGTTTATATTCTTGTGATTTTTACATTTTTTTATTTTTTTTTTATCGATTTTGATGGTTATTATATTGTTAGAACTGACGAGGGTCAACCCAGACCGAAATATATTTTCAATAAATGTGGAACTAACATCTACTTTTTTACTCTACAGAGGTTTGGTCCGTCACCATCACTGAATTTTAAATCTACTTTAACTGTTATACTACTAAAATTGTTTTCACTTTATAATTTACAGCACGGAACAAAGACGATATTGAAGTCGGCATTTAGTTATTTGGACACCCTGTATCAAACTAGATAATCAAAGGTTGACGCTTTTATTGAGCTAGCGCTAATCTCTAACTCATAAACCTTATAATGTTTTAAAGGGATTAAGATATTATTTTCAGAGCCGAGCGCAACGAGGGGAGGACTGAATTAGAGGTCGAACGCTGTGGCTAGGACCAAGGAGGAAAATATTATACTTATCAATGTTTGCATTAAGAAATGGCAATGGTAATGGCAATGGTAATGGTAATGGTAATGGCCTATTACACCCCCTGGCCACCAATGAGTGTCCACAACAAATTTCAGCCCAATCGGTCCAGCCCTTTGGCCGGCTATACGCAACATATATATGAATGTCTTGTTTTATTATATAGATAATAAAATGAACCTGTCACTAGAACTTGGGTCTGTAAATCCATCGACTGTAACACTGTCCTGAAATTAATATTTTCCTTTTCACAATTTCAAATTCCGTCTTTTTCCTTTTTCTTTTCTTTTCTATTTCACTTGTCTTTCTGTTTCAGATTCACTTTTTCTTAAACTGCATCCAATCTTCTTTAACTGCTTTTTTAATTGTAAAAGTTTCTCATTAAAGAACTACGATTTCAGAATTGATCATTTTAATATTAGAATAATACTCATCGTTCATAAAATGTCCAATCATTTTTGGCTTTGATTATTAGTCATGAAATTCGATATAATGCTTTAAAAAAAGTACACAAGACAACCCAAATATTATTTTTGATTATGAATTATTAGTTTAAAATCTATGAAAAAAGGGGAAAGTGTTTTATATTTTAAAAGCACCTAAGGCGACAGACATTTTAATAAGTTTAATTTCAATGGATATATTTGAGTTTGTTTTTTAAAAGTTTTCGTTGTTAATTTGAGAAAAATTATTGTTATTTTGTGGTTTTCAGGATTCATCCAGTAAATTGGAAACAATTCCCTTTAATAATTAGTACCTGGGATGCGTGATAGTTCTCTCCCACCCTGTTATTCATCTCGTAGTAGGAAATAGAACACCAGAAGGTTGGTTCACAATACATCACAGGTTCAAGCTCCAGACCTGGGACAAGACTACCTAAACAATACAGGTTCAAGCTCTTGACCTGGGACTAGACTACCTAAACAATACAGGTTCAAGTTCCAGACCTGGGACTAGACTACCTAAACAATACAGGTTCAAGCTCCAGACCTGGGACTAGACTACCTAAACAATACATCACAGGTTCAAGCTCCAGACCTGGGACTAGACGACCTAAACAATACATCACAGGTTTAAGCTCCAGACCTGGGACTAGACTACCTAAATAATACAGGTTCAAGCTCTAGACCTGGGACTAGACTACCTAAACAATACAGGTTCAAGGTCCAGACCTGGGACTAGACTACCTTAACAATACATCACAGGTTCAAGCTCTAAACCTGGGACTAGACTACCTAAACATCACAGGTTCCAGCTCCAGACCTGGGACTTGACTACCTAAACAATACAGGTTCAAGCTCTAGACCTGGGACTAGACTATCTAAACAATACAGGTTCAAGCTCCAGACCTGGGACTAAACTACCTAAACAACACAGGTTCAAGCTCCAGCCCTGGGACTAGACTACCTAAATCACTGGTTCAAGCTCCAGACCTGGGACTAGACTACCTAAACAATACTGGAGAAGGTTAAAGTGTGTCCCTGGAGAGGGTTTAAGTGTGTACCTGGAGAAGGTTAAAGTGTGTACCTCGAGAGGGTTAAAGTGTGTAAGGATTAAAGTGTGTACCTGGAGAGGGGTAAAGTGTGTACCTGGAGAAGGTTGAAGTGTGTACTTGGACAAAGTTAAAGTGTGTACCTGGAGAGGGTAGACTACCAGGTGATGAGACGGATGGCAGGGAGCACGGGGAGGACAGGGAGGGAACAGGGTTAGCTCCAAGATGTAAGTCCTCCACCATCCGTTGACTTTGCGGAGAGGCGTTCCCGTTTGAGTCTTCTGTGAGGTATCCGGAGGATGTGGAGGGTGTGGCAGGGGTTCCCCCTGTCAGGTTATTTAAGCAGTTGCTGAACACAAAATATTAATGTAGTTTAAAAAAAAGTTTACAAGGCTTAATTTCTTAGATATATTTTATAATTTAGGAAATGTACATCGAGACAAAGGGAAATGAGGAGACGATATGTCAGAAATCTTTTATGCATTTGAAATAGTTGCATTGATCAACTTATTCAGTGAAATGGGTTTATTAGTCCCACCGTACAATACTATAAAACATTAAATAAAAGAATGAACAATTCAATAAGCATTATTTTGTTTTATTAAGATTTTAACAAAACTTCCTTGTGATTTATATTTCTGTCCAAAATGTAAAATTTCTTGACCTTCAATGTATATAAGAGTAAAACTAGTTTGAGTTAAATTGAGATATTTACACAGCTTGATCCAGGAACTGATGACCCAACCCAACTATGATCCATGAATTAAGAATATCCAACTATGATCCATGAATTAAGAATATCCAACTATGATCCATGAATTAAGAATATCCAACTATGATCCATGAATTAAGAATATCCAACTCTGATCCATGAATTTAGAATATCCAACTATGATCTATGATTTAAGAATATCCAACTCTGATCCATGAATTAAGAATATCCAACTATGATCCATGAATTAAGAACATCCAATTCTAATCCACGAATTAAGAATATCCAACTCTAATGAATAAAGAATATCCAATTCAAATCCACAAATCAAGAATATCCAAGTCAAGTCCACGAATAAAGACTATCAAATTCTAATTCATGAATGAAGAATGTCCAATTCTAATCCATGGATTAAGAATATCCAATTCTAATCGGAAATTAAGAATATCCCATTCTGATCTTGGAATTAAGAATGCATATTAAAAGCATTGCTTGGGATTCATATAAATTTGATGCGGATCTGGATCCTGGATCCGCACTGGAAAAAATGGATCCGGATCCAGGTTATGACCCAGTCAAACCAAAAGGCAACGAATTAAGGACATGAGATGGCCTCAAGGCTGCTAGTTTGAACGCCTCCACGGCCATCTGAAAGAGAGGGAAAGTGGACCATACACTTCAATATTTGAGGTAGTTATAAAGCATTAGTCAAGGTCTTAGGCTCTGAAGTCTATCTGGACGGTCAGCTGGGTTTGACTGGGGAGCATTTCTTTAATATTTACTGAATTATTTTTTACAAAGCAGAATTGTCCAATTATTAATTGTTTCGCTTCTTTTTATACAAAAACCTGAAGACCCATTCAGAGATAGGACATTTTTATAATCTCTCTTTTTTCAAAAGTTTAGATTTGGGGTTTGAGAGTAAAACAAATTTAGTTTGAAGCTTTTGGATGATATTCTTCCCCTTGGATCCGGAAACTTGGATACGCATATTTTTGCGGATCCGGATCTAGAAATCCCAATCTTGGGATCCAACGTATCCGGATCCTAAGCACTGAGTTTGAAAACAAGGTTTGAATGTGTAGAATGCTAAACTAGTTTACGAGATGCAGAAATCTGCAATCCTGCATGTTGCGCAACATCAAGAGGAATATGGGGGGGGGGTTGTACTTTTATATTATTAAAACTTTCTTTGTTTTAAAATAAGAAAAACTACATGAACAACCCGGATAAATAAAAAATCTAAATATTGTAAAAAATAGATGAACTATATAGATGCATTATTTTTAAAAACTTTGATGCACAATGATTTGCAGAAATGTTGCACTTGCATAGGAACTAGAAAAACTCTATAAATATTCTCAATGCCGGTTTATTAGCAGACCTCTTGATCTTGACACAGTTAATGATAAGGATATATACTAAAATAACTAATTACTCGTCAAAAACTCATATTTTTAATCCCTATATTGTACACCATTGATACTTTATACCATAAATGCTTCTAGATCTAAGAGTGAATTTGAGTTTGAAATACGAAAAAATTAACTTTCAAGTTGTAAAGATCAAATGAGTTTATTCCTTTGTACTTTGACCTAAAAGGACATGCCGTAATTCGAAAAAACCCTCCATTAAGAGAGAAATGTCCGATTCACAACGGTAGTCTTTTAAAATTTACATGATCAATTATGTGAAAGACATGGTAGTTTTTCTACGTTAGAAAAATTTCTAACTTTAACAATTTTGCTAGCAACTAGAAATAAACAAAAAGCTTTTATGGATATATTTGTAAATATTTGTAAATAAACCATCAATATGTATATACAATATACATCGTCAATAGTCATATCATCCAAAATACGAAGTAATATTTTTCAAAAAAAAGGTCGTTAAAATTTAATAGCCTTCAAAGTTAAGTTTTCATATTCTTTGAGACTGGAACAGGAAGAAATCTTATAGAGACAAACTTCCTTTATATGATGAGTTATTGGATTTAAAAATGTGTTAAACTTCACATTTCTATCTACTTCATAAAATAAGAATAGATTGATATCTAATACAGTTCAAGTAAAAGGTCATCAAAATCTGCTTCTATGATGAAAGTAAAAGTGTTGACTTGGCTTGGCTGACCTAGTTTATGTTGTTATGGTCTGAACTCACTGCTTTTATTGAATTAATAACTACATTTAGCCTTGAACAATGCCAACAATATACCTATAAAACTAGTGTACTGTGTGTCAGAGCTGAGATATCATTTAGGGTTTAAATTATTATATTATAATTCTTGTATCTTGATATCAAGCCAGGGACCGAAATTAATGAATTTGAACTGCCTAACAACGGTTCAAATTTGAATCACCGATTTAAATTATTCTTTAATCATTAACTTTGAGCCGTTGGTTTAAATTTGAACCGGCAGGAGGTAATTCAGCGATGTAATTCAAATTCACTAAATTCGGTCACAGGTTTAGAAATTGTACAAAAAATCATATAATCTTAGAATTATGAAGTTTTAAAATATCTTACTGTCATTGTGATTTGAAAGTTAAACATTTTAAAATATACAGAACTCGTAAAAATTAGCTCAAGAAGTAAAAAAAATATGATAAGTTCACTTTCTTCCCAGGGATATTTATTTTCTTTAAAGTTTTCATCCCTCGCCTAGAATGTTTTAAATGTTGCGCTGAGCACAAAAAAATTAAGCATCCTCAAAAAAATCTTCTAACTTCCTTTTAAAAACGGAAATGAATCTTTTCCTCTACCTAAAATTTTCTAAACCATGTATCTTTGCTAGCTGATGGCGGAAACCATTGATATTTCAAACTTATATTATATGATCCAACAGAATGAATAGTTTGAAATATCAAAGGTCTACAACACTGTATTGCAAAGATATCGGGATTAGAAAATCAGAGTTAGTGGCTAAGACTTAATTCCTTTGTTTTTAAAATTATTTAAATATTTTTTTCCTGGATATTTTACCTTAATTTATCCAGACTGGGAACCTCAGGTAGGGTTGTAGGAATATCGCTGTGATGATTCTAAAACAAACACATATCATGTATATTGTAAATGTAAACTAGGCGTTTAGGCGCTTCGCGCCCATCTTCTATTTCAATTGTGAACATGTTCTCTTTGTGTACATTGTGAAAAAAAACAAAGAAAAATTTGCGGATTTTTAAAAAATAATTTCGTGGATTTTCAAAATTTTCAAAAATTGAATTTTGTTATAAGCAAATTTTGGAAAATTTGATCATCCATAAAGCTTCCCCATAACGAAGCTTCAAAAAGAAACATTTGTACTGCGTTGTGCTTAAAATATTATTTCACAATTAAATATGACTACGTAACAATGACCTTACACAAGGAAATAAATAAACAATTTCCAATAAATTATCGAAATGAACACTGGCCGTTTGAAGTGAATGTTAATGCAATTTAAATTATTCTGGATTTAAAATGCCAAACAAGATTCTTATCAAAATCCCTAAACGTGCATCATTACAGTGAATATTTTTGTTTGGAAAAATTCACAGCCTCATTTTATGCTTGTCTTTAGGCTACAACCTAAAAATCACAGCTTGCGAATTTGTTAAAATTTGCTTAAACAAAGATATCTTCATAATATATTTTTCTCTCAAAATATATTTTAAATCCCGCGGACGACGCCTATCACTCCAGCTAATCTATATAAAAAAGCTCTTCCCTGATTCATTTATATTTATACAGTGAAACCCTTAATAACGAATACATAGGAAGAATTTTTACTATACTTCGTTTTATACTATTAACGTAAATTTCAGTATATGCGAAAATATATAGATAGCCATGAATATGCGGGAACAGTTTTTAAGTGTTCCATATAATCATTTAATTAAAAAATTAAATTTCTGCAATATTATAAATAGCCATGAATATGCGGGAACAGTTTTTAAGTGTTCCATATAATCATTTAATTAAAAAATTAAATTTCTGCAATATTCCATTATCAGAATGTGAAGAATACGACATTTGATGAATTCTTTCGATGTATTTGTTATTAACGGTTTCACTGTATGTCAGCTAAAGCTCACCAAACGGCTGGATAAAATTGGCTAACATTTGAGCTAACTTATGGGGTACCCTGAGGGTAAAACAGGCTAAAAAATTGCTTTTTTTGAATTCTTTCTTTAAAATTTTAATTTTTTGTTTTATTCCACGGGCAAAATTATCCACCCTGGTAAAAGTACCTTAGGGACCATGATGGGAGGCAGGGAGGGGGTGTCCACTCTATTATAGTGATACGGGTTCACGCAAACCTGCTCCCTCCTAAACAAAAGTTGAACACTATTTTTCTTCTTTAAATACGATCATTCTTTAACAAAAGAATATATTCCTTAGTTGAGTGTAAACATGTTTAATATCCCGTCTCAACAGATCTTGTTTACGCATTGTTAAAAATCAATATTAAATGGTTTTCCTTATCTGAAATATCAATGGGGAAAAAAAGAGTATTTTGATATAACTGAGGACAGAACAATACATAGTTAACTGGATAGTTTAATAGATACATGATAGAATAAACCACTAGATAAATAGATTATTTGTAACCAACTAGATAGATACATAGATCAACCTAGTACAGTGCTCTGCAGGTTCAAGTTCATAATGTGAACCTAGGTCTGGATAGATAGAGATAGATAGATGGATAGATAGATCTCTATAGATATCTATAGAATAGGTATATTGTATAAACTAGAACCTGAGATGGAAGGCATATGTACAATGATCCACAGGTTTAAGTTCATGATGTGAACCAAGGTCTGGATATCTCCACAGTCGACAGTATATAACGTGAGGTAATCCCTTCTTTGTTCCAACCTAGAACATTAAAAATATATTTGCATGTGAAGGGAAAAATTCTAAACTTGAACTTTTATCATGTGTTTTATCTTGCCTCCTGTAAGAACCATCAATCTGTGGAATAGGATGACGACATGTCAGCAATTTTATGGTATTTGATGTAGTTAAAAGTCAAAGAGTCTGTGTTGACTACACAATTGCTGTGTTTCGTGTGCAATGTGCATGGGACTATTTATAATCATAACTTGGGTCCGACAATTGTCAATTCCTGTTCCAAAGTTTTATAGGTTTCACTGTAGATTTTTCTAGATATGCACTATGCAGAATGCAGGATACTAGTATATTAGGATACTAAGCTACTAGGATGCTAGGATGCTAGGATACTAGGATACTTGTATAACTGAGGGATACAAGGATAAAAAGGATTCAAGAAAACAGGGCTACTAGGATACTTTAGGACACAAGGATACTAGGTTTAAATGGTACTAGGATTTGAGGATACTAGGATTTGAGGATACTAGGATTAGAGGGTACTTTGAATCGAGGATATTAGGATATAAACAAGAAAACTAGGATACTCTAATACTGTAACTAGGCTATCATGATGTAAAGGGTATATATTAGTACATGATAGGATAACAGGATATTATATTTTAAACTGCTATACCTGAAGTACATGATAGGATATCAGGATATTATATTTTAAACTGCTATACCTGAAGTACATGATAGGATAACAGGATATTATATTTTAAACTGCTATACCTGAAGGACATGATAAGATAACAGGATATTATATTTTAAACTGCTATACCTGAAGAACATGATAGGATAACAGGATATTATATTTTAAACTGCTATACCTGAAGTACAACATTGACTTGTGAAAGACTACCCAACCCCCAAGTAGACTAGCTCAAAGCCAAAAAAATTATTCCTTAGAACTCTGATCAGCTGTACTTATCGTTCTTTCCAGTTCCTTCAGTAACAACAATATACTAGACACTGTACAATTGTATATGGGACAATGTACCGTACACGGTACAACTTACTATACATGGAACAATGTGCTTTACATTGGACAATGATACTGAACATTGAACGAACAATGTACTGTACATTGAACAATGTACTGTACATTGAACCTTGTACTGTACATTGAACCTTGTACTGTACATTGAACAATGTACAGTACATGGAACAAGGTTCTGGACATGGAACAATGTACTGTACATGGAACAATGTACTGTACATGGAACAATTTACTGTTCATGGAACAATGTTCTGTACATGGAAAAATGTACTGTAAATGTAAAAAGGTACTGTATATAGAACAATGTACTGTACATGGAAGAATGTATGAACATGGAATAATGTAATGCATGTATATGGAACAATGGACTGTACATGGAACAATGTACAACGTGTATTGATTGTACATGAAACAATGTATTGTACATGAAAAAATGTATTGTGTACATGAAAAAACTTATAGGGTAAATAGTATGACTTCTGAGACGACTGTACGAAATTCATCCCGTTCTTTTCCTACATTAATAGTTTGATTTGCTTCTTTGGTTTAATTAAAACAATTCGTCAAAAGGCTTTCATTAAAAGACAGAAATCCAAATAAAATCCAATAGTTTCACAGTCGACATTTTAGTCTATCCATGGTATATAATGTTTAAATTTGTGCAAAAATGTTTTTTTTTTTGATGTGGTTACATAAAAGGCCCGTAAACGACGTACTTTAATTGATATATGGGTTCCTTGAGTCCAAACAGGTATAAAACGAATAGAGAGGATTACAGGGGATAATAGTTCCAAAACTAACACTTGGCCCATTTCTAACACAAATTGAAAGACTGGGTTTTTAGGATTCCGGCCCATATAAGATAAGATAAAAGTGTATAGAAAAACTATAACCAGCATTTTATTAAACATGACCTGGACCACAATTTCAAATTTTAAATTATTTTCTGAAATTAAAATTATAAAAGAAGTTCTTTTTATATTTGAACCCATGACCGTTTTCAAGTCGATTGTCAGGTTTTCCATTCTCAAACATATTGGAATTAATTTGGAATCATTGCCGTACGTTTTCGAGACAAAACCATCTTTCCTCTCCCTTCCACTTTCTGGAGTCTAAGTTCCCACATTTTTTGTTAAATAAGAAAAAGGATGATTTATTTTCAAAAATTTTAAATCAATTACATTACAATGCAAGAACAAAAAATAATAATAATTTGGTTTTTCAATGCCGTAATGATTTTATAATTATAAAAGAAATGTATGTTATTATTTTTATTTTGTTTAGGCTACCCTTTTGAAAAAAATCTTGTTTTGTGGCGTAAGTGGGTAAATGCTTAAAAATTGACGTTGAAATGAATTTGAGTAGTTGTCTCAAAACCAGGATATGTTCCAAAAACACGACATGAGCTGAAATGCGGTAATTGTGTTAAAATAGGGATATTTTAGAAAAGGAAATAAATTATGATAAAAACCTAATTTTTAGTTCTCAAATCTTATTATTAGTTTAAAGTTGACATTTCTTCTTTTGATATATATTATCACTTATCTTTAATAAATGTGTAGGGTAGTTTTGTTCAGCTCGGCTTAGAAATTGTGTTAGAAATGGACCAAGTGTTAGTTTTGGAACTTATTTCCCCTGGATTAGGTTCTGATATATTTAGGAAAATATGAAACCCTGCTTTAGAGCAATGTGCGCAGTAAAATAATATTTTGTGATGAATTGCTAATTTGCAGAGAAAGGAAATTTTATCTCAATTTTGTGAATAACACATTTTTAATTAGTTCATTTAATTACATTTCTTGGCTTTTCATAAAAATAGACAAAAATAGCGCTGGAAATATTTATCGTAGAAAAACATGTGTCTGATAAGGTTTAAACAGATATTATAAAAATTGATGACTGATTCCATACAGAGTTTAATTTCTCATTATTGATATTCAATAACAATCAATTTATCAAAGTTAACAGAAATATTAATAATTTAAAGAAATTTATAGGGAAAAAACCTAATCTAAAATTAAATTAGACTTATTGAAAAGGAAAATATTAATTTCAAAGAAGAAAAATTCAAATTTAAATCAGTAAAATCTATTAGATTTTAAAATTGATTAATATATGTATATATTTTGTAAATTTGAATATTTGTTGCCTCAAGTCCATTGTATTTGTATATTTGTTGCCTCAAGTCCATTGATATGTAATATATATATATTTTGTATATTTGTATATTTGTTGCCTCAAGTCCATTGATATGTAATATATATATGTATATTTGTATATTTGTATATTTGTTGCCTCAAGTCCATTGCTCTTTCTAAGTTTCTTCACCAAACTTTTAACCGCCTTTTCACACCACTTCTCCTCCTTAAATAAATATATATACAGGGTGTACCAGAAAAAACTGAGCAGTAGGGGTATTAGTTACTGAAGAAACAATTTTCGTTTAATTTTTACATTCAAGGTGTCATTAGAAAGCTCTAAATTTCAGTTATTTCATGATGTAAACATTTTTGTTCTTTGGGCGTAAATTAAAAATCGATTTCCCGGATTTTTCAAATATTTGATTTTCCACGTCTCATTTTCATACGTTCATCATAAAGTATGTAAAAATTAAAAGATTTTCGAAATTATTTTTTAAATCATGAGCTGTTAGTCTCAGGTTTCATTTTTAACTAAACTTTCGGATCAGCCATCATTATTTTTGGAGCTAGAGCAATCTGAAAAAATTGACCACTGAGGAAATTATCCGCCAAAAAATGTTCTTGGAAATTTTATGCTGAATTCAAATCTAAAAAGCGATTATATGAAAAAATCAAAATTGGATGAGTCAGAAAACATTAAAAAAGTAAAAAATACAGATTTTTGGACCGTTATTTGGCTGTAACTTCATTGATTTGAAATAATTTTAAAAGCGCTTTTCAGATATGAATTCAGCATAAAATTTCAAAGAAAATGATGTAAAACATAAAATTTTTTTTAAATATTTTGGTGGGGCATCACGGTGATTTCCAACATTGATTACCCTTTCTGTAGATGATAGATTTAAAATCAAGCCAAACAAATAACTGAATGTCATCTATCCTTTATAAGGGATCTTTAAACGTCACCAACCCTTCATAAGGATCTTTGAATGTCACCAACCCTTCATAAGGATTCTTGAATGCTACCAACCCTTTATAAAGGATCCTGAATTACAACAAACCCTTTATAAAGGATCCTGAAATATAACTTACCCTTAAAAAGGATTCTAGAATAAAACCAACCCGTTATTAAGGATCCAACAATACAATTAACCCTTTATGTAGGATCCTGAAATGCAACCAACCCTTTATAAAGGATTCTCGAATTCAACCAACCCTTAATAAAGGAACCGAGAATGCAATGAACCCATTATAAAGGATCCTAAAATACAATCAACCCTTTATAAAGGATCCTGAAAAGAACTAACCTGTTCTGTTTTGAATTCTCCTTTCTTCCATCCCAACAACCTCTTCTCTATTGGTGATGTGAACGGTAGCCTAATAAACAAAGTTTCAAAAAACCAGTGCGAGGGATCCAAGGGGAAAAAATTAACAAAAATAAGAGATTATTAAAACTCTCCTTGTCTCTGAATGGTTCATCAAGTTTTAGCATGACAAAATCGAAAAAAGGGAAGAAAAATTTAAACAAAATACAAAAATCAGTAAATCATGAAGATTTTTCTTAGACCCAGATTCACTGAAAATGAAATGGAAATACTGCAGAAACATTCTTGTCGTCTTCTTTTTTTCATCAAATTATGAAATTTCGATTTGGTGATTTGAAATCTATTTTTAAAATTAAACATTTTTTGAAGAAAAACACATCTGCAACCACTTTAAACAAAACATTTTCGATTAAAAGGAGAATACTTGATTTATTTTCTTTTAAACCTCTTTACTTGAGTTAGGACAGTCTTCTGATTAATAAATGCAGACAAAGCTTTTTTAAAAACCAACAATTGAGCTTTCAACAACATTAATGAGAAAAATGCCCGAAAATGTAATTTATTTTTTATTTTTTTGCCATCCTTTTTTTGGATAGTTTTTAAGTTCACCGCTGTAATTTGTTCCAACAATGTAGTTAACTCGCTTACTCGTACCAGCCCGTCTAGTGTACCGAAATATAGTAAAAAATCTTTTGAATTCTAAGAATCTAAACTATTCGAAAAACGCTAGTGAGTAGTGACAAAACAACAAAGATAGATAATAAAAATCCAAACAAAATAAACTGAAAAAAAATCATCATGACACCATGACAGATCTGTTAAAAATTGATACAAAAGTTTTATAACTTTAATAAATATAAATCATCTTTAAAATTTAAATAAAATAATTCCACTGACTTAGAATTCGACATTTACTCACTATAGTTAAAGGGAGTGTTCGCGAAAAATGAAAGGGGGTATAGGCTTAATGCGATAAAAAAGCGCTTTTGATCGCTTCTAATCTTATTTCTATCTGTTGCGTCTATAAGGAGAAAATTGTTAAAGACGTCTCATACCGAATAACTTTGCAGCCATACAAATTCAGAAAGATGCAACATACGACTTAGACCATACAAAAACCAATTTAATTTCAAACAAATCATTTAGATATTACAAACTATAGTAATCGATTATCTTTCGCCACATTTGTGTATAGTTTATATTTTATAATATTTTTTAATTAATTTGTTTTGAATTTGTTTATTTCTCTTGTCGCTTGCACAACTATCTAAGAATGCCGTGCACCACTCACAGTTTTCGAAATTCGTTAAAAACCTTTTACTAAAAAATAAAATATTATAAAATATAAACTATACGCAAATGTGGCGAAAGATAACCGATGACTATAGGATGTAATATCTAAATGATTTGTTTGCAAATAAATTGATTTTTTATGGTCTAAGTCGTATGTTGCAATTTTCTCAATTTGTATGGCCGCTAAGTTATTCGGTATGAGACATCTTTTACAATTTTCTCCTTATAGACGCAACAGATAGAAGTAAGATTAGTAGCGATCAAAAGCGCTTTTTTATCGCATTTAGCCTATACCCCCTTTCATTTTTCGCGAACACTCCCTTTAAAGTTAATAAGATTTCCGATAGATGAATAAAAGTCCGTGAACTCACACTTCTAGGGGTCAAAGTGTACTTAAATGACAAGCGGGGTAGTGGTGTTTTAATGAATTTCATGATAATAATTTATCACTGATGATTTCATTTTTGTTTAGCATATTGAATTGAATATAAATTAAAGGTCATATAATTATCTGAAGTTTATGTATATATATCTTCAGTTTATGTGTAGTAAACGCCTACTCCATAACAATTTTTCAAAGCTATATCTATCCAGGTACAGTTCAGTTTCACTTTGCTATCAATGTTTAAACCTTGGATACTATCTCATTAGCTATCGATATCAATCGGAAGCTCGTAACTATCAACGCCAAATCATAGGGCAGGATACAATCCTGTAAGCTATCGTGTCAATACGGACACTAGCAATCAATTGATCAATGTATCAAACAGGACATGATCCACACGACTACAATCCCGTGAACTATCAACGCCACTACCACTGGGCGCGTTCTTGTTTGCTATTTCAACTGGACAATAGCGATCTATTGATCAATGTCTCAAACAGTACATGATCCACCCGGCAACAATATCGTGAACTATCAACGCCACTACCACTGGGCGCGATATCGTTTGCTATGTCAACCAGACAATAGCAATCAGTTCGTATGTTTCAACAAAACCAAATTACTTTCAACACTGTAATCAAAGCAGAGTTTCTATATCAACTAAGGTATATTTCTTCAGTTTAGATTAGAATTGGGTCTTTAACAGCGTAATAACAAGTTATATACTGTTAAATATAACATAGTTAAGCAATATCAATGTGGGTATGACAGAGGTTATATATACATACATTGAAAGGGCTTAATGTACGTAATTATAAGCCTAGCAAGGATAGATGTAACGTATTTAAACTATCTCCACACATATTTACGGTCTAATTTAAGTACATGTACATATTTAGAAGATAAACATGGATATATATAAACGTAGTTAATCTAGTCACAATGCATGTTTTAATCATGTTACTTAGCTCATGTTTATCTAGGTATTCTCAGGTTAACAAATATGGGGATTGCTACAATATTTGCTACACAAGAGGTATTTAAAATTTTTCCATATTTAAAGAGCAATGTTTCATATTGACAAGAATTGGAGAAAGACTAAACTAAACTAAATTCAAATTTCTGCTTACAGAACTCATATACACTGCACTGCACTCTGTATATATATATCTGGTAAGTTAAAAAATGTCGTCTTATGCGCAATCTATCTGTCTTTATCTATGGTATTTATTCATTAATACTAGACACACATAAAAAATATTTTTTAGGGATGCACTGTCCTATCTAATTGTTCGACCTATCTATTGAGGTTATTTATAATAAATATGAAAACATTTATAAAAAGAACGCATTTTTTAGTACATGGTGCCCCAGGATTATTCAATTTCTTGAAAGATAATTTTTCTCAATCGACAAAATCTTGAAAAAAAGTTTAGGATTATAATCACAGAATAAATAAAGTTTTTTAGATAAGTGGTAACAAAAAGGGTGGAAAACCTTCCCAGTTAATGTCTAATTTTTAATTTCACCCCTAGAGCCTAGATCACGAAAATCATCTCCACCCCGCAAATAAAAAATCTTCAAAAAAGTACCATTGGACCCAGCACGATGGAACTCGACATGTAAACCGGCAAAATAAATAAATAAATAAACAAACAAATATAAATAATAATAATACCTAGAGCTCGTAGTTTGTAAGAAGTCCTTCAAAACTCCGTCCATACTCATCTTTCTGACATTCTTTATCTGTAATTCAATATTCATTTTAATACCAATCTGTAGTTTCTTTATCTGTAATTCAACATTCATTTTAATACCAATCTGTAGTTTCTTTATCTGTAATTCAATATTCATTTTAACACCAATCTGTAGTTTCTTTATCTGTAATTCAATATTCATTTTAATACCAATCTGTAGTTTCTTTATCTTTAATTCAATATTCATGTTAACACCAATCTGTAGTTTCTTTATCTGTAATTCAACATTCATTTTAATACCAGTCTGTAGTTTCTTTATCTGTAATTCAAAATTCATTTTAACACCAATCTGTAGTTTCTTTATCTGTAATTCAATATTCATTTTAACATCAATCTGTAGTTTCTTTATCTGTAATTCAACAATCATTTTAACACCAATCTGTAGTTTCTTTATCTGTAATTCAACAATCATTTTAAAACTAATCTGTAGTTTCTTTTCTCCACGTTAAGCTAAAGTAAATATAAGATTGAACGTTTAACTAAAATTTTGAATTTCAATACTTTACGAAATAAATTTGAATTTCTCTTACTTGTGCGAAAAAATATTTAAAGATGCTAAGACTAAGAATATAGCATGAATTTGAAATTGAATTGTATTATTTGCGTGTTTTGGCGTTAAAGCTTGGAGATAATATAATATGATATGGGACGCTCTGTACGTTATGGCCAAACACGTAATAAACCGAAGCAATTTACATATTTATTTGAAACTTAATTGTGATTTTAAAAACAATATTTTTTGGTTTATTTAATTAAATTGTGCATAGTAATTATTTTCCCAAATATTTTTGGTTCTTAAAAAACGAGCAAACCCTGGGTCTGTCCTAGAGAACGATTTTTGGACCCCCCCCCATAAATTTGTACATGAATTGAATTAGATTTCGACTAATTTCAACAAAAAAAAATAATTATTTTGAATTATTTCAGGGTTAGGTTAGGCCGATTTCTGGGGCCAAGAAATATCCCTTCAATTTAAACAATTTTCAACAAGATTAGTGTGTATTTAGGGTTAGTTATGTGTAGACACTTTCTGGGCCGAGCGCTGCGGATAGAACAGGCTAGGGGGCCGAACTCCGCGGCTAGGACAGGCTAGGGGACCGGGCACCGCGGCCACATGACCAACTTAATCCATGAGTTTCTTTTTTAAAACTACCTAAAAATCTATATTAAAAAAATAAGTACAAAAGCGAGGAGGGAGGGGGGGGGGGGGGTCCAAAAATCGTTCTGTAGGAAGTTACCAGAACCTTCTACTTAATTGAAAGTAAAATCTTTATGTGATGATCACGATTAGTTTACATTACTTTTTTGTAGTTAAGAATTATTCTTATTCTTAAAAACCAAGTTGTCAACTTCGAATCTCATGTCGAACTGATTTCCGATTGTAGATTTAACCTTGGAAACCTCGACTATAAAACTGTTGTGCAGAATATTTTGCAGCGCAGAGTAAAAATATCATTATATATGAAATGAAAGCGCAAGTCGTAGAAAATATTTCATCACTTCACAAACTAAACTGCAGAATATTTAGCTCTAAAAGTTCACTTATGAGTTGCAACGTAATTTAAGCGAAATTGATTTTCAGAGCTTTAAGTTGTTGTAAAATCCGCGATTATAGTGTGCGAGGTGTGCTCTTTCACTGTTTTCATAAACATTGCAGTCTGCGACCGGACAGACCGAAGATTACTGCAGCTGCAGACAGGGGGATTACATTGATTTTGTAGATTTAAATATATTTTTAATAGTTCAAATTTTACGAAATTTTGAAATTTCAATCGGTTAAAAGATTTTTTTTGTGTAGAAATAAATTTACAAAACTTACCACCCCTGTCTGGTGCATTTTAGGACTGTCTGGATATCAGATTAATGAAGAAATATGTCACAGAATGTCGTCTTTTATATTTGTGGTCGTCTTTTATCGGGAATTATTTTTTCAGATTAAAAATCTCAACATCCAGGACATCCAGAGATGCCACCGTGGTCGACCTCATTACGTCCTCCGATTGTGGTCTTTAGCGTAGTGGGGGGGGGGGGGAGCGAGAACCCTGTGCAACCCCTAGGCCCCCCCCTAGACATGCCAAGGGGAGTAGTAATTATTCTTTCTTTAGCTACAACCTCCCAACTCCTCTTATATAAGTGTTATAGCTGGAACTATTTATGTGATGGTAAGGATTTAGGAACCTGATCAACTCCTCTTATATGTACAGGGTGTCCCAATAAACTTACGAATTGAGAGACGAATGAAATCGTCTTTGATTTTCGACAATTGATAAATGACATAAAATCCATCAAAAAAGATTAAACCTCAAATGAGCCTCCCAAAATGTGGTCTACCTTCTTTGACTCTTTAAAATTGACAAAGATATTTTCTAAAATCTCCGTCAATTTTGAAGGTGAAAAAAATAGCAGACCACAATTTGGAAATCCCGAGACTAGCAGTTTTTCGGTGTTAAACTTTTATATCCCTGATACAAAAAAAACCGTTATTTAATTCCCATGTTTATTGGGACACCATGTAGATGTACGTACATATGCATACAACCTGTACCAAGCTTTGCCTGCGTAACTAAGTTTTCCTCAGAAGAAAGATCAACCTACTCAACTCAGAACTTTAATAAAACCGAGCTAAGATATTTCGTTGGTCCTAACAGACCGAGGGATTTCATGACGAAAATTCAAACAAACAAAAAGACAAGCATAGATATTACTACAATCTTATGTCTGAAGAACAGGGAAAACTAAGAAACTGAAGAAGATGAATAGATTTTATTCTTCTCAATATTCCATTATATAACAAGAACCCAGATCCTGGAGCAATCCAGGTTAACATCTTGGAATATGCTACTCAGGATCATATAGTACACTTATTCTCTCTCTTAACCTGGAATGGTATTTAAAAACCTTTTCAACTAAACCATTTGAAATCAATGAACAGAATGAACAGCAAATCTATTCTTACCCAGCTAGCTAAACACTTGTCCATTAAAGGGACTGTAAGCGTAATTTCTAATAACCAGCTCCCTGCAATGATGGCGAAGCCCGATTCACAAAAGTAAATTTAAACCCTTTATCTGAACTATTATGTTGAAGATATTTATAGGTTTAAAAGTTATATAACTTCTTATAATTCCAATATGTAGAAATGCGCAATTCACTTTTGTAGAGAAACCACAATTGAAAATAAACAGTAATAATTTACGCAAACATGTATTTACCCCCTGAAATATTTTCTATGTCGTTCTAAAATACACCCCTGTTGTCCTCTTTAAAGGAATTCTTGATAATAATTCAGGTGACCTCCCATTTTAAGACGGGCGTGTTCGATTCTCTTGGTACCATTTAAACCTCAATATATGAGTGGGAAAGATATATGGGTGCGGCTAAGGAAGCGCAAACGGGTGAGCGAGTTGCCACAAGTCTATTGGTGTGAGTAAATTGCGAAATGGAGCCTATACAGGTGAGGCTTGCCTTCCCGCCCTCATTGAGCTAAACCAACAAAATATAATTTATAACCACACTTTAAAAAAATCAATTCTCCTAAAGAAAAAGAGAGATATCATTAATTCTTTAAATGGAGTGTTCGCAAAAAGTTAAAGGGGGTACAGGCTTACGGCAAAAAATAATCGCTTTTGATCGCTAATAATCTTACTTCTATTTGTTGCGTCTATAAGATATACAACCTATAATCATCGAGAATTTTGCGACGCATTTGTATGTAGTTGATATTTCATAATATTTTTTACTTTTTATAATCTGAGAGTTACTTTTGAAAACATTTATTCCTGTTTCGAGATTTTTCATATTAAAGACGACATTTTTCCAGGAATGTTCGAAAATTCAGCGCCAGTAGTGAAAACACCCTACTAACCGCGGAAAACCTATAAACTCGTAGACATATGTATATATACGTATTTTTAGGTTTGGAAAACGTAAAATTACGTATTTTTCATATGTATGACATACATATTTTCGTAACAATTTCCTTGGTAAAAATACATATTTTAAATCCGTAAAAATACGTATATGACAAACGTAAAATGCATATGTAAAATACCCAAAAAAATCCAAAAAGCAGGAATTTTTAGGTTTTCCCTATACTTAATTATATTTAGGTTTAAAAAAACATTTCTTAATTTTTGGAATTTATAGGTTTTACCTATACATAAATTTACATATTTTTAAAAGTTCTAAAACCAAAATGTGAAGAAGATGACAATAATTTTGCAAGCACATTGTTCTTTCATATCTATTCAACTAATTCTACAAATTTCTTAAATCCATTCATAGATATCACTTATTTTCAATCCACCAATCCAATATTCTCCTACACAAATTCACAACATCATCATTCCTTCATCTGTATCATATATCAACATTCATATATGCATTTTGTCTGTAAAAATTACGTATTAAATACCAATTCAAAGACTCAAAGTAGGATTTCTATTTATCAAAAAATCGTGAATTTACTGACATTTGTTCTAATGAAATCATCAATTTACTCCAAAATTTTGAAACATTGTATGTACCAAAATTTTTGCATTAAATTTCTTACATAAGAATTTTCTTGAAAAATCATAAAATATTTTTTAATTCTTAAAATGCATTTTTGTCCAGCTGAGATTCCGAGATTATATTAAGTAAACGAAAACCGAAAAATACGCCAAAGTACGAAAAATTAAGACCTTAGAACTTGATTTGAAATTTACGAAAATATACGTATTTTTAGGTTTGCATCAAACTTATAAACTCTAAAAAATACAATTTTTTAAGTAATAAAATATACGTGTAAAAATACATAAAATAAAAACCGAAAACTTAAAAAAAATTACTTGGTAAGAAGTATACACAATTATTCGTAAAAATACGTTTCTGGAAAACCTAAGCAATTAAAAATACGTAAATATAATTGTTCTTTTCCAAAAAGTTGAGCATATGTTTTTATAAGTAAATATACCAAAAAATATGTATACCTATATAGAAGCTTTAGTATTTCAAGGTTTTCGAGCTAGTATATAGTTTAAGCTAGAATTTTTTTTTTTATCAAAAATATTATGAATTATTATTATTAACTATATGCTATTTTTAAACCTATTTAAGCCAAAAATTAATTATTTATTTTTCACCATCTTTCTCCGCCATCTTTCCCCAGCATATTTTTCCGCCATATTTTCCCGCCATCTTTCCCTCTAATGTTTCTCCGCCATCTTTCCTCACCCTTTCCCCCAGTTTTTGCTGAATATTAAGCCAACTAAAACTCATTTCACAGAATATTTCAGACGCAGAACATATTTCAGGGAATGTTTTAAATTTAATCCAGACAATTTTAATAGATGCATCACATTCAGACAGAAAACTTTTTAACCGCAAAAATATTGATTTTGGAAAAGTTCTGTAAAAAAATTTTTTTCAACAAATTCTTGAAAAAAAAACAGAATAACTAGGACTTAAACCATACACTCTGCTTGAAATAGAAATTCATAACTTTATTATTATTATATTAACTATAACTTTACCCTTTTTTTCAAAGCACTTCCTTCACTTGTTTACCGAATCAGACAGTTTCGTTGATTTTTATACTTAGCCATGGAACCTAAAGTATTTTGAGTATTTATTAGAATTAAAATTGAAATGAGAGGAAACTTTTCCATAAAATGAAAACCCAAAAATACGTCATTATCAATGCAGAAAGGAGACTTAATTTAAAATTGACCTACAATGATTAAAGGGACTGTAGAAGTTTTTCCAAGTGACTCTTCATTGATAGGTTGTTTTGTCCGATTCAAGTATTAGCTTTTCCATTTTTTGTTTATTTTCAAAAGTAACGTGCATTTATTGCTTTAGAAACAGTGGAGAAATGATCAGAATTAAACGATGGAAAAACGACATTTTCTTCCACATTATTGATCAGATTAAGTTTACAAAGGTACCGTTGTGAATTAACACTGGCTTGGCCATGTGCTCAGATAACCAGAGAAACCCCAAGAAATGTATTCGATGGAACCCACCACCAGGGAAGAGAAGCAAAGGCAGACCAAATACAACATGGAGAAGGAGTGTCGCAGATAGAAATTAACTCAACATGCAGGTTCTAGTACCTTATTTCCTTTTTCCCTAAACTCAATATTTTGTTTGTGGTAAAAAGCTGTATATAGGTATCAATTGAACATTATTATAGAGTGAAAACTGTATAAATCATGAGAAGGAAATATATATACACTATAGAGTATACAGTGCACACTATACAACCAAACATATATCATTTTTATTGTATTAATGTATATTCTTTATACACCCAGAAAATTTATTCAAACAGAAAAAGAGGAAACCTTTAAATAAAAATTTTAATCATTATTGACATTCTGGTATTGTTACATTTATTAATACATGAAATCAGAAACTTTAAAAATAAAAATATTGAAACTGTTTGAATCCCATTTTTATTTTTTATGAAAACTTAATGCTTAGTTTTATTAAAAGCCAATGAAGGAATGACTACTTGGGTTTAAGGTCTGCAAATAAAAGTTGCCCATGTGAATTGTTTTTACAATTTCAGGGGGCAATCAAGTTCTCAACAAGCCAAAAAAATCTGCAAATGTGTAAATTTATCTTTTCCTTGTTTTAACTTTATTAATTTATTTATTTATGATTTTTTTATGAAACAAATTAATTGATACATGTATTTAATGCAGAATGCAGATACTCATTTTTCCAATCTTCTTGTTTCCTGGCTGTCCTAGCTTTTCCTTGTATTTAATTGCATGTCTTGTAAAATACAAGACATACAATATATATGATTTTCTTACTTTTAAAAATAAAATAGTTATTTAAACATTAATAATACTATTTCATTTTTTGAAATGATTGAACAAACAGATCCATTATTCATTGTTTGCATTGTGCTCTTATACAAGTTTCCAGTTACATGTATTGTCCTGGAGAAGGATATATAAAGATATCCTGGAAACAAAATGTCAGTTCCCCTCCTCATGATCTACCAAATATCTGTCTTGCTCTCCTGCCTGCCCTTCATAATACTTGCACAAGAAGACCTTTATCAGGAACTTATTCTCTATCTTCTTCTTTGCATGCAAAATTGATTCATTGATTGATTTATTATTGATTTTTCACTTGATTTATGAATAATACTGTTAGGGGTGTATATTTTCTTTAAAAATAATCCCCCCTAGGGGAGGGGGGGCTGTAATTCTTAAAATCACACACCCCTTAATTATGTGATTGATTGATTAGCTTTATTTAAATTTGATAAAACCAATTGATTAAATGTTCTAAGTAGGAGGTTGAAAATGAAATAGCAGCAGAGAATGGAGAAGGGTTTGATGAGTTTGCACAAATACCAGGAATGACAAGATTAGAAGATGGGACATTACTTTTTAACGGAGAAAGGGTTGTTAGTATTAACGGAGATGATTCTGTAAACAACCCTGGTGCAAACCAACCTCAATTTAGATCAGATGAAGTAGAAGAAACACCTCCAGCTCCAGCAGCCTATTCAAAACCAGCTCCTGCTAAACCCTTAATTAACTCAATGACTGAACTTAGTTCCGCCCAAGAAGTAGTAAACATGCAAGAAGTTATAAGGAAAGAGCCTGTTCTCTCAATGGAGGAGGTTATTAGTCAGGAACCTGTTTTCTCACAAGAAGAGGTTATTAGTCAGGAACCACTAAAAACTGTACAAGAAGTGATTGCAACACCACTTAAAAGTGTTCAGGAAATACTAAGCATGAAGGAAGTTATCAAAAAGATTCCTCTGACAGATGAAGTTGTTAAAAAATGGAGAGAAAGCGAAGGGAAAGGTGCAGCATCTGATTATGCAGATATCCCAGAACCAGAAGCCCCTGCCCGAGGCTATGGCAATGCTGCACCTGCTGCACCTGCTGCACCTGCTGCTCCTGCTGCTCCTGCTGCTCCTGTTCCAGCAGCTCCTACTCCTGCACCAGAGCCTGTTGATCTTGATGCTCTTGAAAGTGAAATAGAAACTCTCAAAAAAGAACTTGCAGCTAAAAAAATGGAGGTTACAAAAATTGAAGAGGTCCTCAGACAAACTGAAGTCCTGCGTTTGGAAGAAATTCAAAGTATAAGAGAAATTGCCACAATGGAAGAAATCCAAAGCATAGAAGAAGTTATCTCCAAGGAACAGCTGAAGAAAGCAGAAGAAGTGCTAAAGAAAGAAGAGGTCCTTAGCCAAATGCTTGTCAAATCAATGACCCCAGTTACCAAAGTTGAAGAAATTGTTCATATTGAAGAACTTACTCCAGAACAAGCAGAGAGACTACTTGCACTTGCTGGTCAAGCAGATGCCGTACCAAAGCCCAAGGGATATGCATCAGATCCTGCTCCAAAACCCAAGGGCTATGCAACTGCATGATGCTGCTGTCACAAATTCCACAACGGGTTACGCAAAGATAAATATTTCCTAATGAAGGAATAAAATGACAAATGACTCATGATAATTAATTACAGATATGTTACACACGCAAGTTAAATCCACATTATATTACAGTTTTAGATACATTCAGCAGAGTTTTAAATATATGTATATATTAACCAATTATTGACTTTGAAGTCATAGAAGTATATTTGAATTGTGAAAGAGGGGTGATTCAGGAGATTTAAATCCTTATATCCCACCAAAAGTTTCGCAAAATTCTTGGGTTTTCTTTAGAAGAACAAAGCTTTAATTGATAAAGGTCCTAATTTTAAATAATTCATTTGATTAAGAAAAATGCTAGAGTTTGGAATTAAAAATTTTACCAGAACTGAAAATTGCAAATTTTCGAATTACAATTTCTCGAACTTTCTGTGATTCTTTGATTCAATCTATACAAATTTTAGATTTCGATAGAAACAATTTAATTACACATTTTTGTTATTCTGAACTTTTCATTTTGAGAGAAAAAAAGGTTTGCGTATTTTTTGAGGCCTTTGAAGTACCAAAAAAATTACGAGTTTTAAGTAAATATTGAAAAACACCATACGTACAGGAGAGTTGCACAAAAAATATACAATTTTGCACCAGGCAATTCTGATCACACTTTATTTTGACTCACCCTGAATATATATAGATATCTCCTTTAAATATGTTCAGAACATTTTCTATTGTTTATTAAGGTTATTGCTGTAATAAGATACTAATATAGCTTGGGTCAACTCAATCTATTTTCTTCAATATTTTCTAATTCTAGACTAGTCTGAGCTAGTTAGACGTTGTCTTCCGGATCTTGACAAAGTAAATATCGAAGTGAAAAGATAAAAAGACAGCGAAGCATATTTTATTAAACAAGGTATTATTAAACAAGGTATTATTAAACATGTTAAAATGTTAAAAAGTTAAACTATTGCTTTAATTACCTCGCAGTATTTCTAAACCAAGGAATTGAGTCTTTGCGATAATATTAAATTTTCTAATCCCTATATCTTTGCAATCTGGCGGTGAACACCTTTGATATGTCAAACTTAGATTATTTGATCTAACAGAATCCAAAGTTTGAAATATTCAAGGTCTATGACATCAGGTTGCACAGATATACGATATGAACATTGGATTTTTGTAAAAACTCAATTCCTTTAACCCTATAAAGGCTGGAGATCTCAATATATATACTTTATATGACAAAGCTTTTAAGGGTACCTATGTGAATCGGATATGTTACTCTATAAACAGAGGTCACTTGAAATTTTGATTATTGTCTCTTTATGTTTGTTTTGTTATTATTATTTTTGTCTATAGTTATCCATACTTAAAAGTGTAGCACCAAACCTGAACCTAGAGTTTTTTTTCTGAATGTCGTCTCCGTTTATTTGCAGTTTTAAAAAGAGGGTTGTGAAGCATCCTGAGCTGAAAAATTTAGAATGTTTATTGATCTGAGCTGGGAACTTTAGAATGGTGGATATCGAGATTGATGCTTAATCCTTTCTTTTTTTAATCTCGAGACTAACATAATCTCGAGATTAAATATTTTGATCAACAAATTTGATTGTATGGAACGCCCGATTTGTTCATTTTTTTGACTTAATTTCTCACTCATTTTTTTGGAGTAATTTACAAAATGGCCGACAACATATTCTTTATTTGTTAGAAATTGCGGATTTCTCTCATGGGATAGAATTTATTTTTAAGACTGTCATTGGTCAATACAATTTACAAACTATATTCCTGCAATCTCATTGGAGAAAACAATGTACGAATATCCAAAGAGAGAGAAAAAGAGTGGATTAAGCATGCACTAAAATGAAAAGTTTCCACAATGGATATTCGGATTAATAGTCGGGATTAAAGGTTATCCATTCTAAAGTTCCTGCTCTGGAGATTAATAACAAAAGGAGAACAAGCAGTATTTAATCTGGAGATTAAGCAACAAGAGTGGATCAAGCAGTTGTAATATATCAATCCTCTTTGCATCGGAAATGTGCGATAAAACCCAAATTTATTCCACCTTTTATTTTGATTTAACTATTTAGAACAAAAATAGCGGAACAAATTGTAGTTGGAAATATATTTTGTTATTGCATGTTGAAATTGCATGTTCGTTTACTGTATATGTGCATTAATATATATTTATATTAAATGTGTTCAATTCAAACTTTTTAAACATCGATCTACATTCTACAGTTATTTGGCTTTTACGGCGCTACCTTCTTTTTACTACTGTTTTCTTCAAAATCGCCATTTTAAATAGCTCTTAAATTCTCGTAGAATTTCTGTTCATGTCGACACATTTCCCGGGCAAAACTTCAGCCCTAGGTTAACAAACCTTCCCTTAGGTCATGTTGCACAAAAAAGAGCCTGTTCGGTTCAGCCGTGTAGACGTTGATTGGACAGACAGGCACACGAACACACAAACAAACCAAATACTAATATATCCATTTTATATTCACAAGTTTTGCTTTCTGTTGTTGATTTCAAAAATGAAAATAAAAATCGAAATGGTTTATCACAAAAATAGTTGGGCCGATGATTTTGATGAGAGTTGGACACTAAAGGAAAGTAAATCAAACAAATATAGAAATGTGGATCAAATATATATATATAAACAGGTGGAAAGTGGTGGATCAAATATATATATATAAACAGGTGGAAAGTGAATCAAATGAAAAATTAATTTTTTGGTACATAGGAAAAAAAATCCGCGAAACTATTTTTGTTTACAGAAATATCAATTGTTTGTTCTGTGATCGATTAGAACATCCTAAATCTATTTTTCTACGCTTTTAGGACGCTTCGCGCCCATCTTCTATTTCAACTTTTAATTGTTGCTTTATCTGTGAGCATCTTCTCTTTGTACAGTATAAAACAAAAACAAAAAAAGTTTTCGGATTTCATATTATTTTTCGCGCATTTTCAAAATTTTACAAAAATAACAAAACTTTTGAATGCAAATTTTAAAATTTGATCATTCATAAACCTTCCCTGGGGTCACATGAGGTCCCACACAAAACTTGGGCCCGATCGGTTCAGCCGTTTTGACGTTTTTTGGATACAAACAAACAGACATACAAGCTAAAGGAATTGAGTCTTTGCCACAAATTCGTATGTTTTAATCCCTTTATCTTTGCTACCAAATGTTGTAGACCTTATACATATATTTCAAACTATAAATTCTGTTAGATCATATAATCTAAGTTTGAAATATCAAAGGTTTACGCCATCAGGTTGCATAGATATAGGGATTAGAAAATTTGATTTTGTGGCAAAGACTCAATTCCTTTATTTATAGATTCTGAAGTTTCATAAACTTATATTGTTAAAAAAAGAGATGTCACAAATAATCCGCGAAAAATATGAGTACAAATCTGCTCCAAATCTTACAAATATGGTAAAATGTAATTATCAATTTCTTATGAATTGTGCTGATATCCAAAAACACTTTTTACGGACTTTTTTGTTACAACTCTTTATTTTGACAATAGATTTTTATAAAATTTTGCAACAAAATAGCATTTTTCATTTAATTTAAGAAAAAAACATATTTTACAAAAATGTAAATGTTTTGCTGATTTTCTTATGTTCGAACATTTTTTGCATTTTCTTCATTTTAATATTTTTTTGCTTATAACATGAACCCTGTAAAAACAATTGTTGTGTAAAACATTGGTAATCCAATTTGTATTTACTTTCCCTTTAAATGAATGTTTTTAATTTTATGAAACAGAATAATGACAACTTTCGATACGTTTTCATAATTTACTTACTTTGTATCAGGCAAACAGAAACAATTAACCCTTGTACTTATTTGTTTCTAAATCTGCCAACGAATCTGGATTATATTTGTATAAAAGAAATGGAATTTATTTCTAGGCATAATTCAAGAGAAAAGTATAAATTGTCAAATTTTGAATACAAGCAATTTCTGTGGAGATTCTCTTCCAGGTGTTGCAATGCAGTAAAATATTTTTACAATTTCAAGTTGGAAACATTCTTCCTTCATCCTTCATTTCTTTATACTTTCCTACTGATAAAACCATTATGGTTTTGCTACAAACACTGTCTTATAGAACACAGTTCATTCGTAACATCCTTACTAGAGTAAACAATTTAGTTATCCAACCATCCAACTATCCAACCATTCAACCATTCAACCAACCAACCATCCAACCATCCAACCATCCAGTCATCCAACCATCCAACCATCCAACCATCCAGCCATTTAATCATCCAACCATCCAACCATCCAACAATCCAACCATCCAACCATCCAACCATCCTACCATCCAGCCATTTAATCATCCAACCATCCAACCATCCAACAATCCAACCATCCAACCATCCAGCCATTTAATCATCCAACCATCCAACCAACCAACCATCCAGCCATCCAACCATCCAACCATCCAGCCATTTAATCATCCAACCATCCAACCATCCAACCATCCAACCATCCAACCATCCAACCATCCAACCATCCAACCATCCAACCATCCAACCATCCAACCATCCAACCATTCAACCATCCAACCTTCCAACCATCCAACAACTCTTCTAGAAAACTGCTTATCTAAATGATTTGTTTGGAATTAAATTGATTTGTTTGCGATCTGAGTTGAATGCTGCATCTTTCTGAATTTGTATGGACACTACGTTTTTTGGTATTAGTCGTTTTATAGGTGTAACAGATAGAAGTAAGATTGGCAGCGATCAAAGGCACTTTTTTATCGCATTAAGCCTATACCCCCTTTCATTTTTCGCGAACACTCCCTTTAACACAAATAAATAACCATGATCAAATATTAATTCAGTAATGTTAGTAAAATATTTTTCAAAATAAAAACAACATTTTTCTTTACCCAAGAAGAATTAATGAGACCAATCGGTCTCAAAATAAAAAAATATATTATAATTTGAATCCAGCAATGATATAGTTGATCAGAGAGATAGCGAGTGATTTCAATTTAGGAGATATAATCGGCACTAATAATATCTCTAATCTGATCTCTAATCGTTCTTCTTAAATCTATTTAATTGAAATGTTTTGTTATTATTTCTAAAATTAGGTGGAAAAAATAATCAAAACAGCCAAGAGCTATTTTCCACCTAATTGCTTTATACTTGTACTGTTATTTAATATAATCATCAATTTGTAATTGTAAACTCTGTAAATTTGTAATTTTGTAAATTTGAATCCAGCAATGATATAGTTGATCAGAGAGATAGCGAGTGATTTCAATTAAGGAGATATAATCGGCACTAATAATATGGTATAATCTTGATATAGAATGAGTCCAATTGTGACCCCGCCTGCAATATTCTAAATCTGAGAGGGGGTGAGTTTCTCAAGACTGGATAAAGGGTATTTATCTGTGTTGTGTATTTATCTGTGTTGTGTATTTATCTGTGTTGTGTATTTATTTGCGTTGTGTATTGATCTGTGTTTTGTATTTATCTGTGTTGTGTATGTATCTGTGTTGTGTATTGATTTGTGTTGTGTATTGATCTGTGTTGTGTATCTATCTGTGTTTATAGTTAATCAATGTTCATTGTTTCTTCATATATTTCTATTTTTATTTAATGTTAATTTGTGCATAATGTTAATCTGTGTCAACTATTTATCTGTATCAACTGTTTATTTGTAGTTGTTTACTGGTTATCTGTTTCAACTGTTTATCTATGTCAACTGATTAGCTGTATTTAGTTTTTTTTTTGTATTTAGTTTTGATATTTTAAGTTTTGATCTGTATTTAGTTTCTATCTGTATTTATTAATCTATGTTATGTGTTAATCTGTGTTTATTGTTTTCTGTGTTCAGTTTTTTCTGTGCTTATTGTTTATCTGAGTTGTGTGTTTATCTGTAATTTGTTTTTATCTGTGGTTGGTTTTAATCTGTATTTGTTGTTTATCTTTGTTAAGTGTTAATCAGTGTTAAGTTTTAATCTGTTATATGTTAATCTGTGTTTATTGTATATCTGTGTTTAGTGTTAATCTGTATTTGTTGTAAATCTGTGTTTTGTGTTAATCTGTATTTAGTTTTTATCTGTACTTAGATTTGTCTATGTTTATTATTAATCTGTGTTTGGTTAATCTGTATTAATAACAGCTAAATTATCAAATAAATTAGAGACAATGTTATATGATAACATATCGTAAAATTTTATTAAAGTTAAACTGTTGCTTTAATTACCTCGCAGTATTTCTAAACAAAAGGAATTGTGTTTTTGCCACATATTCAAATTTTCAAATCCCTATATCTATGAAATTTGATGGTTAAAACTTTGATATTTTAAACTTATATTTTTTGATCCAACAGAATTCATAATTTGAAATATCTAAGGTCTAAAACATTGGTTAGCAAAGATATAGGGATTTGAAAATCAGAGTTTGTGGCAAAGACTCAATTCCTTAACGGCTGCTGATTTTCTTAAAATCAAAAGGTCTAAAGATAATTCCATTGCACGTCATCCCATAGTAATACCATGATTTTCAGAAAAATGTCCAGTAAAAGTTTTAACTCCAGACGAGCAACTAATATGTTGTACTATTGGAGAAACAAGAAAAAAAAGTTATGTCTGAAACAATCACTATTAGCAGGCAGGGTTTCCATGCACAACATGCGCATTAATATCCTAAAACTATATCTGTAGCTGTCCGTTCCGAGTCTCAGGCTACGTCTCCGAGCCTCTGCAACTCTTACTCTTACTCCACTCCATGTATTTAGCATTTACATCCACCAAACCCTTTTTTCGAAAAATCTCAACAAAATCAAAAAGTTTTTTATAATATATAGTTAAGGAATTGACTCTTTGCCACAAACTCTGATTTTCTAATCCTAATATCTTTGGAACCTGATGTCATAAACCTTTGATATTTCAAACTTATATTTTTTGATCTAACAAAAGTCATAGTTTGAAATTTCAAAGGTTTACGATGTTGGAATCCAAAGATATAGGGATTAGAAAATCAGAGTTTGTTGCAAAGAGTCAATTCCTTTGTCTTAAAAATCAACTTTAATTGAGATTAAGACTTTTTTGTTTTTCTAAATTTCACAAATTCTTCTACTTGTGCATGGTGCAGAACTATTGTAGCAAGCAGCTTTATATACAAATAGACAAAGGAACTGAGTTTTTGCCAGAAATTGTGATTTTCAAATCGCTATATCTGTGCAACCTGATGGTGTTAACCTTAGATATTTCAAACTATCATTATTTGATCTAAAATAATTCATAGTTTGAAATATTTAAGGTCTCCGACATTGAGATGCAAAGATATAGGGATAAACAAATTAGAGTTTGTGACAAAAACTCAAATCCTTTTTTTTGTATTTTATTATTTAAGAATTTCACAAAATATTTGTGCATTTTCCCAAAAAGCCAGTTTTTTGTTCATTACAATGCAATGTAAACTTATTTTTTAACTACCGAGGGCAATCTTTCACAAAATTGTGAAACCTTTCCTGAAATTTTGCTAATGGAAACCATAAGAGCAGACCAGTCAAGATCAACAACAGGTACTTGATCCATTACATTTAAAACTTCATAAGCCTGCCTCTGGGTCTAGGGGGGCCTAGGGGGGCACATGGATACCGCACCCCCCCCCCCCTACAAAGCGCCTGTTTTTCTATCAGTTTCTTTGCTTTCATTCATTGCCTTTAAAAAGGAAAAATATCAAAGCTTTTTCTTTTATCCTTCCAAATTCTACAATATATTTTTCCTTTACTTTCTTAACTATTATTATCTAGTAGAGATGTCAACGATAGTGTAACGTAACGTAAAAATGTACGTTTTTGTACGTTACGTTACAATAATGTGTAACGTTTGGATATATTCTATATAACGTGAACGTTAAACGTTAACGTTATAGGACCTCATACCTAACGTTAACGTTAAACGTTAACGTTAGAGGAATATACCCCCAACGTTAGCGTTTTGTGGAAATGTAACGTTATTTTTCTAATATCTACAACTTTTTTGATTATAACGTAAAGAAATGTTTTGTTTCCAAAGGGAGCTTGAAAGTCTAACGTCTGAAAAATGAATTGTGATTTGATTGAATATCGTAACGAAAGGATTTCTATTTCAAAGTTCAACTTATAAAAAGTGTAACGTTGTAGAACTGAAAAATGCATTACTGTTTATGAAAACGTTTTGAAACGAAAGTTTTTTTACAGAGTAAAATTTCAATAATGTAACGTATAAAAAAATGTAATTCTGTAAATCCAAACGTTTCATAACTTTTCTCTGAATACTAAGTTGATTAGTCTAACGTTAGATATATGTCTGATGAAAATGTTGTTCATAAAACGTTAGACTATGAGGGCTGAGTTTTAATTTCAAAAGCGTAACAATAATTCTGTCAATCAAAACATTTCAAAACGTCTCTAATATATCAACGTAAGAGATTCGACTGATGATTATAAGAGCAAAGACCTATGGTTTTTCACTTCAAGTTTAAAGAAAATGAGCTTATGCCAAAAACTCTAATTTTCATTTAATATATCTTTGCAACCCGATGTCGTAGACCATTAATATTGAAATATACAAGGTTTAAACCATTGGGTTAGAAAGATATAGGGATTAGTAAATTTGAAAAAAAAAACTTAGTTCCTTTCTAAAGTGTAAACGAGTTTTTTTGTAACATGCTATTAGTGAAAATTCAAATCTTATAAATGTTTCTTGGACATTAAAGGTTTTGATTTGCCATTGTTTGATGGAACCCACTAAAACTCTGGAAAAGGAATACGACATTCAGAAATTTTACTTATGCGTTTTCTGTTATAAAGCAAATAATTTACCAATTGCAAAAAAATCTACTTATTATAAGTGGAACGGGTCTGTGTGTGTGAACAAACACAATTGCTGTGTTTCATGTTTATTTGACTAATTGAAATCATAACTTCAGTTGGCATGGTTCATGTTTTAGGTTGAAAATTTAGAAATGTAGATTATAGATACCTACTAAAATGCGACAATATTTTATCAAATGGAAAATGCGTGTTATGTTTTATTCATCAATAGATTTTTATGAAACTTTAGAATAGAAAAAAAACTGATTTTTTAATCGATTTTTTTTAAAAA